GAAATAGGAAAGAATGATGAATTGTGTTTTAAATGGAAAGGACATTGAGTTTGAGGATGATGGGGGCAGGGGGCATTTGCCAAACACTTGCTATCAAAGAGTTATGTTGGTCTCTTTGCAGTGGGGTACAAAGTATATCATCATCATCATCATCATCGATTGCGAGGTCTGTTAAGATGTCAATAGTCATGGCCCTCCATTTCTATCTATTATCTGCTATTCTTCAAAAGCTGGTATTGCTGATTTCATGTTTGGTTGCCCATTGCTCAGGCTTTGCAAATATGTGAGGCGTTGGCTTCCCTTGCTTCTATAATTTCCAGCAATCTTCTCTGTTAATACATGTATATACATATTTTTTTATAGATTATCCTTTCTGTACATGTGACCAACAAATTGAATTTGCATCTTTGTTGTTCAGTTGATGAGTGAAGGTTTCACTCTTGCTTGTGTGGGCACCTCTTCAAGTACCAAAACAATAAACAACAAAAACAGAATCTGCTGTAGACTTCACTTTATTAAACATGCTTCAATTATTCCCTGATCCATGCCCCCCCCCCCCCCCACCCTAGTCCCGCTCTCTCTTGCTTTTGCGGCCTTCTTTCCCTTCTTCCATCCCTCCCCTTCTTCCATCTCTCTCTCTCTCACTTTCTCTCTCTCTCTCTCTCTCTCTCCCCTATCCTGTCCTCTATCTCTTCTATCCTCTATCTCTTCTATTTCATTTTTGAGCGGATCTGTTAGTGCTATTACTGACAGACAATTACGTTAGCAAACATTTTTTGAACCTCTGTTAACATTTCCTACTTTAAAATTACGTATATGTTTTTCTCTGAGAAAATGACAAAGACAGATCTAATCTTTGTCAGCTGTGGTTCACTTGAGACCCCCTGATGACAACAAACGATTGAGGATGGCCAATAAAATTTTATTGCAGGATGAAATAGGTTGTAAAATTTAAAAAACCCAAGGTTATTTTAATTTCCTTTGGAAGTCATTGTCAGATGACAGAGAACAATAATGAAAATTAATCCAAAGGGGAAGTACGAAGTACGGAGTTAAGGGAAATGACCATGAATCAGGACACAGAGGGGTATTTCAGGGCTATCATCTTGAAACATCCTTTTGCAGACATTGGATAGATTGAATATTTCAGCCAGCCTTTATCATGATCAGGCAATTGTCACTAGGGGCATTTACACTGTCATCCAAACACGCCAAAAAATGCCAAACCGGAGCCTGACCGCGATGTTTCAGTAATGTTACCAAGGCAACTACGCTTTACCGGCAAAAATGCCAAGCCCGAAACATTCCATATCGAAGTGTGATCTTTGGGCGTGTTTGGCAAGTATAAACGCTCGCAGTTGTAACATCGCGATGTTAGGTCATGTGACTTTAGGAGCGGGCTAGATGTCGTCCTTAAAGACGATAGAAAGATAGAACGATAAATACAAAGAATAACGTAAGAGAAGGCGATAGAAGGAAGAAACAAGAGAATAACATAAGAGAAGGTGATAGAAGAAAGAAACACAGAATAACATAAGGAAAGACAGAAAGAGAAAGTGATAGAATGATGAACAACAAAGAATAACATAGGAGAAAGTGATAGAAGAAAGACATAAAGAATAACATATGGAAAGACTGAAAGAAAAATGATAAAGAATAGATAATGGAAAGATAGAAGAGAAGATGAAAGATGGAAAAACAAGGAATAACATAAGGGATGGTAGGAAAAAGATGATAGAAAGAAATAAACAAAAAGTTCACTGGACTGCAGCAGCCACAGCATAAAACAGCTGATCGAAGGAGGTTTTTGCATCGGAGTGCCGCGCATGCGCATTACCACCTGAAACACGCCAAAACACCTCTGAGTTTTTCAATCTGTGATGTTTCAGCACAAGTGTAAACAGGTGCGCGAAACATCGTGATTTTCAGAAATATGGTATTTGACAGTATAAATGCGCCTACTCTTGATTTTTAACAAGAAGGATAATGAGTTTATTAGAGAGCTTGTGATTTACAGTATAGCCCAAGAATTTCTTTTTTAGAGGTTCAGAAAGACAGCTTTGCGCATGAATTTTAATATTTATGTCAGGGATAGGAGTGATAATGCTAAAAATGTAATGTAAGAGAATATTTCATTTATTTCAATTTAATAAAGATATTAAAAGACATTACATTTACATAAGTAAAGCATTTACACATCACAATGGATTTCGGGGGATTGCTGACTCGTATATAATGGTAAAGTAGCATTAGGGGATTAGGGCAACAAAAATATTTCCATTCCATGTGAAACTTGCAAGATCACAAAAGTAATTTCTCTCATTCCATTTCATTTTATTGGCAAGACCAAAAAGATGTCTCAGATAAGGAGGAATGATTTATCAAGGGAAATTATTGCAAGTTTTTTTAATCATAATTATTTTTTGAGGGTTTGTTTTGGCAGTGTTGGGTTAATTAGAGAAAGTAAAACGACCCTCATATTTCAGTCAACCTTCCTGTTCTATATTTTTCATAGCAATAAAGTTTTATGAAACACTCATCACAGAGCCTAGCCATAAAATTTAATAATTTCTTTGAATTATGTTGCAATTTTTTTTTTGTCCTAGAGTTTGCAGATAACCTATTGGCAAGGTATTGTGTGGGTGTTTATCAGCTACATCCACATGCAGATCCTGTAAACTTCCTTGAAATATTATCATTATTTGCTTGAAGTGGTGTCTCTATGGGAATTTTCTTTTATACAGTCCTACTTACACCACCTACGATCTTTTATGAATGAACAAAAACAAAACAAGATAGCCTGCATGTATAAAACTCACTTCAAAAACCGAGTCGAGCATACTTGAAGAATAACATGGATGCATTTAATAAAGGATTGCATAAAAGTCTTGAAACGTCATGTTAATTATTAATAATGTATGAAAAAATAGGAACAATGGAGAAACTTACCAGTAAATATAGTTGCCTATTGAGATTGTAGTAGCTAGCAGTAGTGATCATTGCAAGCTTTGAGTACCTATAAAGCTCTCTTTAGTTTGGATGGCAGATACTATGAAAGGCCAAACAGGCCAATATTTGTACAACACCCCTTCCACAACAAAACAGCACAACTGGCATTTTAGTGTTTCTGAAATATAGGAAGAAACATGCATTTCAATTTGCTATTAAATGTTTTTATTCAGTGTTGACTATCAAAATAGGTAATTATAGTATGTTTTAAACCCTAATTTTTAGTTTAACATGCGGAACTTGGATGTTCTGAGTATTAAAGTCACCCACACTAAATAACTAATTTTGCAAGAAATGTCAGTTATGCTGTTGTGTCAATGAAGGGCAGTATAGTCATATAGTTTCCTGCGTTCTGATTGATTAAAAGTATATTCAATGGCTGTATATATAGTCGTATAGTTGTACAGAATTGTGGCACTCCTAATAATTGCATAGTTTTATATTCGTACAGTTTCATGCATTCTGATTGGTTAAAACTATACACCCATTCTATAGCTGTATAGTTGTACGAATATTGGCCTGTTTGGCCCGTCATACATACTGGTTCCGCATATCCAAGTTAAAAATAGCAATATGGATTATTTGCTCAAAGACCAAAATAGAAAGCACTTGAGGTGATTCCCCTTGCATTGAAACTGATCCTCATCTATAATTAATCAGTGTCCTGAATCAAACCAGGAAACTCTTTCAAGGAGCTGATTAATCATAAATGCAGGTGTAACATGATTGCTTTGTTATTGGTTGTCAAAGTGAGCACTGCATGTGTGTATGTTTTGAATTGAAGACTTCTCGGTTTCATGGGCATCAGTATGCCATTTCACGCTTCCACATACACCTCATAGGGAACTCATTTGAAGTCTATCTTGAATGATATACTGTTCTGTCTCCTCATTAATATTCCATTATTAGGTACTTTTAGATTTGCACAACGAGAACGTGGACTGCTATGTGTGACATCCTTTTAAGGCTGTGTGACGTTCATTTAAGGCACTGGCAGTGCCTGGCAGTGCCTTAAAAGGATGTCACACGTAGCAGTCCACGTTATTGTCATGCAAATCTAAAAGTCCCTTATGTCAATTAATTAAAGCAAAAGTACTTTACAAAAGTTATTTTAAATATTTTTTCAAAAGTAGATTATTTGAATTGAAAAAGTAAAATGTTTATGCAGGCAATGAGCCCATATCAATTATTAATAAGGTAAAGGAACAAGTACAAGTAATAGATGATAGCCTTGTAAGAGAGCTTTTTGTAGTTCACTCTTAGTCTTATATGTATTTGAATGCATCTTTTAAATGTCCAGGCCCATGTAATTTACCCACTTTTTAAAGGAAACCTCACCCCAAAGAATAAGTGTATGTTTTTCTGAAAAATGTTGCCCTTTGATGTAAAAAATTCCTTACGAAAATGTAGAGATTTATAAATAAAGATATTCTTGGCAAGATGTAATGCCTTTAAGTGAAATTTGGCAACCGCGCCACACTATATTTCCCTCTGAGGGGGGGGGGGGGGAGGGGGTTGTGAGAAATGTTGCCCTTTGATGTAAAATATTCTTTACGAAAATGTAGAGATTTACAAATAAAGATATTCTTGGCAAGATGTAATGCTTTTAAGTGAAATTTGGCAACCGCGCCACGCTCTATTTCGCTCTGAGAGGGGGGGAGGGGTTGTGAGAAATTTGAAAATCGCGTTGGCCGATATTACACTTAATGGGGGGTAGTGACCACTATAACTTTCGTTTGTTTTATTTGCCCCCCAAAATTTGAAAAATCGCACCCTTCCCCCCTCCCCCCCCCCCTTGAGCACCAGGGGAGGGGGCCCGTCTTCTTTTTTAAAACAATTATAAGGTAAAATTGATGTGTTTTTACCTGTTTCTTTTCCCAGGGGAGGAGGCCCAGGCTCCCCCCCCCCTGGATCCGGTAATGCACCTTTCTCATAATGGTTATGACTTCTCTGTATGTTCTATTAATATATATCTTTAATATATCTTGCAGACTTCTTGATGTTTGTGATGTGATGGATGTTGGTAGATCAGAGATGATGTTGACTTTGGTCTTTGAGCTTGTGGACCAGGACCTGGCCCAGTACCTTGAGAAGTGTCCTCCTCCAGGATTAAGTTCTTGTACTATCAAGGTTAGTTTCAAATGCTGTGACAGAGCTGCCAACCACTACGATTTAATCATATTTTGTACGATTTTTAGAAGTAAATACGATAGTATGATTTTCCTTGATAAACTACTATTTTCACACACACCCAACAAATTTTTTATTGGTATTTTGTTTTTGTGTGTGCCATTTTAAATGGCAAAATGCCCATTCTGTCCTGTGAAGGATCATACAAGCATCTCACATCTGCAATTTGGGAATGTTCATTGGTTCATCTATGAACACCAGTCATGACAAAATCATGCATATATTCAACCAATGATCCATAAACAAATTTCTTCCTGTATGTAGGAACTGTAAGAGGCATTGATCTGTGTGTTTTTGGGGGGATACAATTTTTGTCAGTAAAATACAACTTTTGGGATTAAAGAATACAGCTTTTGCTGTGATGGTATATGAGAGATGAGCCTTGTTCTGTTTTTTCAGTAATAGTGAATCAGGACTTTACATTGCAGATCTATGTAAAAATGAAAACAAAACTAAAAAACAACATAACATGCCTCTACTGGTGGCAGTTGGAAACTCAAAAAGAGCTACATAATTTTCTAACAGTAGATCTACATGTACATGTATGTCAAAAGTGAAATTTGCTATTTCTGCTTACCCCAGAAATTTTACTTGTACATGTATTTCAAAAACATAGTTTATTCTTTGAAACCTATCAGTACTGCTATTTGATTTGCAATTTGCTGTCTTTAACATTTTCATTATTTATCATCCCATATTTAAGAATGGTACCATTTCTTCTGTTCTCTCTAGTTTTTGATGCATCAGCTTCTAAGTGGTGTAGAATACCTTCACTCTCATCGTGTCACTCATAGAGATCTGAAACCACAGAACATTCTCGTCGCTAGTGATAAGAAATTGAAGCTGACAGACTTTGGTTTGTCTCGTGTCTACAGCTTCCAGATGGCTCTAACTCCGGTGGTAAGAAACATTAAAGTGACTCGGTATCATTGTTGAAGGTTAATGAAAAAACCGTGTAATTTGTTTGTGAAATGTTACTTATTATATTCCTTCTACCGTACTAAATCTCTAACATGCAAAAAATCCTGAAAAAATTCTCAAGCCACAAAGATATTTATGGTTTTCTTTGAAGGCATCACTGTGCAATACCCTCTAACAATAGATGCTCCCAAGCAATTTTTGAATTTTCCCAACCGTTTTTCCATGAAAATAAGACATAAAACTGGTTTTTTTAAATGTCTTAAATGTCTGGAATTGTATTTAGAGCCAATTCATTGCTTTTTGATGATTTACATTCACCTCAAATTTAACTAAATTATAAAAATAAAGTTGGGAGAATTCAGGAATCGATCAGATCAGTTTTTCCCAATTTGTATCATTGTTTAGATTATCTTTAATTGTACATCTAGCATTGAATTCACTACCTTAGCACCGTTTTCTCTCATATTAACAATGTTACCAAGTCCCTTTAAAACATTTCCAGTCTTTATCTTTGAATATCTTTTAGTTGGTTTACTCTATAACTTTGTACAATGTCATCAAAGTTTGTTATTCTTTTAGTTGGTTTACTCTATAACTTTGTACAATGTCATCAAAGTTTGATGAAAGGCTTGTATTATAACAAAGAATTAAAACCTAGATTACGATACTGGTAATTCAATTTTGTGACAATAAGTGTTTGGTTCCATGCAGTGTGATTAGGGAATTTAGTGACATGTTCATTAACCTTCTATTCTAATCATAGGATGATGTAATCGTCAGTCTTGTAGCAGGCTTTCAGACATGGTTGTTTGGATAAATATTTGTTTATTTGATTAGACAATCTTGACTTTGCGCATGGAAACATGTAGGTCATGATATCTTTTTCTGAAGTTTTAGAAACTTGGCCCAATGCTTTGTAGCAATATTTAGAAGTAAAGTATTAGTGTAACTACCGGGTAATTTTTTTAAACCTTTTCATTTTTGTCTCGCCTGCGTAGCAAAAAGCGAGACATAGGCGCCGCTTTTCCGGTGACGGCGGCGACGGCGACGGCGGCGTCAACATCAAAAACTTAACCTAAGGTTAAGTTTTTGAAATTTTGATATAATTTTAAAAGTATAAGTTCTTAGTCAATGAAACTTTGACTATAGGGTAATCAAGTATCTCCAATCATGTGAGTAGAATTTCAGATCACAAAGTCAAGGTCAAAGGTCATTTCAGGTCAACAGACTTGGACTATGTTGTAGCATCATCATCGAAAACTTAACCTAAGGTTAAGTTTTTGAATTTTTGATATAATTTTGAAAGTATAAGTTCTTAGTCAATGAAACTTGGACTATAGGGTTATCAAGTCGCCCCAATCATGTGAGTAGAATTTCAGGTCACTAAGTTAAGGTCAAAGGTCATTTAAGGTCAACAAACTTAGACTTTGTTGTGGCATCAACATCAAAATTTTCAAAATGCTTCTTCTTCGTTATTTTTCAACCAATTTTGATTCTGATTGTTTCATATGATAGAGCTAGGAAAGGGATTTATAATTTCTACACAGAATCGTGAAATTCATTATCTATGCTAATTTATGCAAATTTATTCGAAATCACAAAAAAGTCTTCTTCTCCTTCATTTCTCGATCGATTTTGATTTGGTTTGCTTTATATCGTACAGCTAACTTTGGTACACTAAACTTCTACACAGAATTTTGAAATTGTTCTCCATTAATTAATTATGGTAATTTATGCAAATTTATTCCAAAAATAACTAAAATTGCTTCTTTTCCCTCATTTCTTGACTGATTTTGATTTGGTTTGCCTTATCTGGTAGAGCTAAATTTGGCACACTAAACTTCTACACAGATTTGTGAGATTTTGCTCCATTGATTATTTATGGTACTTTATGCAAATGAAATGGAATTACTCCCCTTCCAGGGCATCAAATTTTTTAATTTTTTGACCAGTTCAAAAGTGTACTACATAAAATTCACGATATTTGTTGTTGCGAGATGCGGATGAGCGCTACGTCATTGATGTTCTGGTTTATCATATTGAATTGCGTTATGCAGGCGAGAGCGCCGAGAGCGTTTCCCTTGTTTACTAATAAATGTTGTACTATTGTGGGAAAATGCACAACTCCATACCGGTAATATTGATTTGCATTTTAGCTTTGTTTTTTTCTTATTTTTAAAAATATATTTAACTTTGCACAACATTAGTTTCAATGTTGATTTGATCACAGCGCCATGATGGGGACTGCCTATAATTTCCTTCACAACCTTTTGAATCTTGAGAGAAGTGTAATGCTGTCCCTTGGATAGGACATTAAATGGAGGCCCTGTGTAGAGGAGAGTCACCACCTTTGCACTTTAAGAACCCACTGATTTGTATCAGAGTAGGAGGAAACCCTGGTGTAGTGGACCACCTACACACTCCCAATCAGTTACACCGGGAGGAGAGACCCGAGGGTTACAGTGATTCAGTTCTCTTTTCGCCTCCAAGGCACAGGTGACGCCAAATACTAAATAATGTAAGATTATGCAGGCTCTAATTCTTACTGTCCGATTGTTAACTCCATCCAGGTGGTGACCATGTGGTACAGGGCACCCGAAGTCCTCCTCCAGGCTAGCTATGCCACACCAGTCGACATGTGGAGTGTTGGATGCATATTTGCAGAGCTTTATAGGAGAAGGTTGGTATATTATATCAAGAGACTGTTCACCATCTAAACAAATGTTCTGTCCTTGATTGTTCCTTCATAGATGACTAATTTGCTTAAAAATACCTACACGTCATATTAATTTTTTTTTTTAAATTTATTTATTTTTTATTTATGTGATACATGTACACATATGTGTCTTTTCCACATACTTTGTTTCTCTTTTCCTCAAGCGAGGTTTTTATTTCCATAATTTCAATACATATTTACATTAATTACTCAATGATTGAATGAAAAAACCATTGGCTAAAAATTAAAGTATATTCAACAATTCTTCCAGCTTAGAATTATTTCTTTGTTAACACATTCATACCTGAAAAACAATCTTAGCAACGACTTGAATTTAAAAAAAAAACGAAGCATGCAGGTGAAGAACAGAACCATTGACAAACTTTTTGACATAACATTTATAAAATATTAAAATAATACTTAGGAGATTATATTTCTTGTTTCCCCATGTAATACCTACAACCAATATCTTTTGGTATATTTGTAGTTCTACTTTAAGTGAAATATCAAATTACATGTCATTTTCCAAAAAAATAATCACATCTTTGCAATACAACATAAAGTGAATCGTTGAATCAACTTTTCCACAAGTGTTGCATGAATTATTATTCACAACTTTCCATTTATATAAACTTTTTTTTGGAGGCAATAATCCTGTAAATCATCTTGAAATTAAATTGTTTGACTCTATTATTACAAACTTTCTTTAATTTGAATGAAAATACATCCTTCGAAACAAAGTCATTATCTAAATCTAGAAAAGAATTACAAAGATAAATGACAATTGGTTCTCTTGACTTCCATATTAACAGAAGCATTTGCTTTATCCCCTGTTTCCATGCAAATATCCCCTGTTTCCATTTCCACATATATTTTTAGATTCTTTAGTTTGCTTCTGCAGAATCTGCTAAAATATTTTGTTGTACTACTGGCATTAACATCCATTCAGAGATATCATCCTTCTATAGATACTAGGGTACTAGGGTGTCATTTTTTTCAAAACCTATTGGTGATTTTGTGTCATGCATAGCAATCAATGCACGTGAATGTGATCGAAGCGACCTGAAATGTACTTACCACAAACTTGCAGGCATTAGTCATCGTTTAATGTCATTTTGAGAAAGAGGGAACATTTTCTTTGCCCTGCAAGCACAGTAGCGAGAAGTCGCAGGTTCTCATCCTTCATGACAATATAGATGATTAAATGTGATCCACAAATTGTTGAATTTGACCACAAGTTACTAAATGAATCCATAGCATCCTGTTGCGTATATCTTAATGGTCAATTTAGTTCACAAACAAACTGCATGATCATCGCTGTTCCATTCAAAGAATCTGACCCCTCCATTGGTTGATCCTTTCAGCCAATCATGAAGCAAGTAGACAAAGTCATGCATGGAAGATACTAATATGGCAATGTTTCACCTTACGGATCGAGATATTAATATGACAATGCTGCATGCACTAGAATTATATAAGAAGTGACGGGCTGGGTAACCTCATATGCTCTCTCTGCTAAGAATAGACGTATATATATATAATTGACATGTATTCAGTTTCAAGAGTGATTGAAACCTTAATTGCATCAAAGTCACGTCATGTATTTCACACAAAATGGAAACTTTGTTTTAAGGGAAATGATCCACTTATTAATCAGAGGGTTTGTTTATCACTATATGTCTCTTTGGTCAGGGTAGCAACCATAAGCTAGAGAAAGATCAAGTGCTTACGTTTATGTAAAGGCCTCTGAAGCATGTGGTTTAAAGGTATAGACCAGTTATGGTCATGCAATTGCATTGTGAAAGAAACATTGTGGAATCGATCAGAAAAGGTTGATCATCTAGCATCTAGCATCTGCAAGATTCTGGAATCGTCAAAATGATAAGAAATGTGGCCCATTCTTCGTAAAGTTACAAGCACTATACACAGAAAGATGTATATGGGACTACCCTATATCTCTCACAGACCATGAGAGAAACAAATTTACCAAATATATGAATTAGTAGGCGGTTTCCCGGCAAATTTTTTATCATCATGTATTAGTCAAAACATTCTTTCACATGATTGGTAATGAGAGCTTCCATTTCATTTTTTGAAATTGGGGCGTTTCAAATACTGGTCTTTACCTTTAAGAGAGCAATGGAACTAGATTCTATGGAACAGTGTCTTTTCTTCTGTTCAAAAACAGACAATTTTTTAATTGATGAAATCAATAATAAAATGTATCATCTGAAATCATTTTTCCAGCTAATTTCTGTTGTTTTAATTCCATTATTCTTAATGTTTTGAGACAAAGATATTTCTCTCACTTTTTGTCTTCCCTTTCGCCTCATTAAACCAATCACCTTTCTTTTCCTTTCTCTGCAGGCCTCTATTCAGGGGACAGTCGGATAAGGACCAACTTCATAAAATATTTGAGTGAGTGAATCTAATTGTCCAACTGTTATACACTTTTCTGCTTCAATATAGTTCATTTAATGACCATGGTGAAGACATGTGACATTACATTTTAGTAAGATCACATCAACAAAACCCCTGTTGTGTACATTTTTCAATGATTCCAATACAAATCTTTTACCAACCAATCATAATGAAAGTCTCCACAAAAACAAAGAACATAATTAGAGGCTTGGATCATAGATTAATTAGACTACTTCAAGATTAAAGTATTTTGCTTTAAAATTTGCCCCTGTTCATGCAAATGCTGCCCCCGAATGCTCATGGTCAACTATTTTGTTTTGTAATCTATTATTCTTTGTAGTCTATTTAAAAGGTGATTCGGAGGGAGAAGATCCCAAAATGATTTGTATGTTTATGTTCATGCAGATTAAAGTGACAGTGGCACAGAATCTTTGCAAAAAGGCAACAGAAAATGAAATTTCCTTTTCTTTCAGGGTTATTGGGCTTCCACCCGAGGACCAGTGGCCAGATGTTGCTCTTCCGTGGAGTTCCTTCCGTCAGACTGGACAGAGATCCTTCCTAGACCTGGTCCAGGAGATATGCAATCAAGGACTGGATCTACTAGAGGTAAGCTAGAGAAGGAACTCACAAATCAGTCTGAAAGATGCAATGTCCTCATCCACACACAAACATATTACTATCATTAAACTTCTATGCTAGTGTGAAGAAATTAGATTCTAAGGGGGAAAATAGGAAATTTATATTATCAATATAAAGAAGACAATTAGTAGATAGTGAGGACATGACGTCATAGACTCATGAGTGAATTTCCAATTTGTCTTGTGATTTTCATTGTTCCATAGTTTTACAGACTTTTTCAAAATTCATAACTTTCTTATTAGATATCCGATTTTGCTCAAACTTTTTTTTATTGGTTATTTGTCTGATTTTTCTTCTTCTATTGAAAGTAAGTTATTTTTGGAGTGGACTTGGCCTTTATTGAGCAGAGAGCTCTTTGAAACAGTTGTGGAGGGTGTATTTAAACTGATATTCAAATGTGATCCCATAGAATTATCTCCAGAATTTCTGCAGGATCTCTTTTGGAACATTCTAAATTAATTAAGTTTCTATAGAGAAGTTTTTAGCTCCAGAAATTACTGAGATATCACATCAAATATATTTTTTTCTGGTTTTTCATAATGAAGGTCTAAAGCGTAAAACTTCTCCTTAGCATGAAAAGTTAGGAAATATATTCCTCTATCATATGATACCAAACTTATCTCAAATATCCAATAGGATCTTATTTTTTTTGCAAGTTGGAAAAATACTTGCACGTTATAAACGCATTCCATTTTTTTTTGCTGTTTCAGCATAAAAACAGCTGACACTTTTTAGCTGACCTTCAGACACCCTAGCCATGGGAACTACCTCATCTTTGACCTTTTTCCAAAAAGTTTGTGGTGTAAATTATTTCCACACATTTCAAGGAATTCTCAGTAGATATACTGGTAATACAGAAGTTCCCTCCATTTTATTCTATTGTCAAACAAGAACTTTGTTGAGATAAACTTATCATTAAATGACTAGGCGTGCAGCAACGATCCATAGGATAATGTAATGTCATTTCCCCTGTGGGTTAAAGGACTCAAGGTGGCGCTATTGAAATTTAGACTTGGTGGAAGATGGAGTCAGTCTTATGGTAGAAATTAAAACAGGATCTCATTTTGGATAATATAACTTTTTGAAAGTATCGGTTATTGCCAGGTCTGGTAGTTCATGCAGAAAACCTCATGTGTGTATTAATTTGAAATGCAGCTGATTTTAGAGATATTTGGAAACTGTTGGGCCTCTGTTCCATTCAGGGTACCCTGAAATATACCTGCTTTTGTTCTCAGAACACGGCTTATAATATGTTCTTCCCTAGGGCCCTTTACCTTTTACCTTAAAAGAATTGTATGCATGTTTATAAGATCTATTGTTTAAAAATTTAAATTTGCAATTAGAAAATTGAACCAGTTATTTGATAATCTCTTTCTTTTTCAACCTCTAGAATAAACAGTTTTCATTGTTGATAAGATAAAGATAAGAACTATTTCCTTTTAATCAAGTTTTTGCCCTCTTTCTTTTGTTTTTGCTATTGTAGCGAATGCTGTGTTTCAATCCAGACCATCGGATGACGGCGGAGCAAGGCCTGTTACATGGCTTCTTTGGTGATGAGGAGGAGGATGATGAGGAAGACGACGACACCGAAGTGGAGGATGACGACGATGAAGAAGATGAAGATGATGAGGGAGTGGATGTCAGTCAGGAGCATAGTCAATCCGCATCGACTTCAAGCATGAGCCAAGCTACAGATGATTCTGGTTCACATTCACAGTTTTTTAGCGATTCCTCACAGTCTCAAGACGTCACACCAACCAATAAACGATGATGCGTATCCCATGGATACAGATGACATTCTGTTGATGTACATAAATACCAAGAGGCCACTTAAATGCTGGAATTGTGGCACTTCATCCAACCAGTGCCCTGGTCGTTTCAAACAAAGCATTTCAGAAGTTGCAGGCTGATTTTCCAGAAACATTGCATTTTGATCCACATGAAACCATTTTGCACTATTGCACAATTTTAATGTGATGAAATTTGTGTGGGTTGTTTTTCATCTTTATGTTTAATAAACTGTAAACTGTAATCTAGGATATGCAGTGGTGTTTGCCATGTGGTGATAAGCAGCTGATATATTTTCCACTGCATTCCTAGACATTTTCAGCTCATGACAAGTACTGTTTCAGATGCATTTCCTTTTTTTTGCAGAGCTGATTTTATTTTTGTTGTAGATGAAGATCTTGCAAGATAAATGCTTGTTTTAGACTTTGCTTCCACGTTAATCACCCAATGAAATGTTTTCATTGATCATCGCTTAAATATAACGCAAGATATACATGTAGGAGGCAAGAAATACATGTGTGTAGAAAATGAAACTAGTTGATAGATAACAAGACGGTAGACAAACTTCTCACTGCTTCACACATTGGTCAGTGATGTTAATATTGAGGTGAACAAACCACTAAGGCAGGAAGGTGCCAATTGCGGTGAGGGGTTTTCATGGACCAGTAGATCTGAGATTATATTATCAACAAAAAAAAGAAGAAAAGAGTATGAATTTACAAATAGTACCCAAAAAATAGAAAAAAAAAAAAAAAAAAGTGAAAGGCGTAAATATTCTAAAAAAGAATGAAACGCCGATAATACCAAACAACAACAACTAACATTGTGTAAGCTCTCAAGGTTCTTGAACCACGAGGGCGCCAAACACACAATCCTCGCGATACATGCCAGAAAGCTGAAAATACAAGGACCTTGAATATATATATAAGTTCACCATGGTCAGCACGCATCCCTTCAATTTGAAGAAGAAGATTGTATGCTAGGAAAAAGCACAGGTACAATGACTGCTCCTGAATGAGTTTCTTAACTCTGCACATCATTTGATCTGCTGAAGAAATTTGTAAAGTATGATGCTGAATTTGAAGAGAAATGAGTAACACTCTGTGGGTTTAAGGTGGCTTCTTTTTTATGGCTTCCAGATTCAAGAGCACTATGTCTTAAAATTTGTAGGTCAGTAGAAATTTAAATTTTTCTTTTGATATGAATTAGATGCTAATATGAATTGAATTTTATAAAAACCATGTACTGTAATTAAAGTTTTGTCTTATTAAGGTTGAATGCTCACTGTAAAGAATACTTACGCACAATAACTGTCTGTAATTGACAAGAAAGTACTTTAATTTTCTTATTTTCTATTTGGCTGTTACCATGGAACACATTTCAATATGTCTCTATTCCAAATAAGAATTTCATTATGAAGTTGTTCATAAGTGGATGGTTTTTTAAGCTAGAATATTGATTTCAAATGTATTTCTGCAAACTGTTTCTGATCATTATATTCTAACAATGAAAGTATGAGAGGGATCAGTAGAGTGTAATCCTGCTGTATTTAAGTAATCTAGTAGAGAATATAGGTTCTAAAACAGATCCTTCATGACATTGAACATTTAGTAAGATGAATAGCAGGTTCCAATTTTATATTTGCGATTTGTAGCGGAGGCATTATGTTTTTGGGTTGTCCGTCCATCCGTACGTACGTCTGTACGTCCTGTTCTCGTGATCACGTTATCTCAAGAACCAATTGATGGATTCCCACCAAACTGTGGTCATGTGTGTATCTTGCAGAGCCAATGAACTGAATAGATTTTGGGGCCGCGAGATCCAAGGTCAAAGGTCACAGGGCTCATTATGTATGCGAAAATAGCTTGTGATCGCGTTATCTCAAGAACCCATTGATGGATTCCTACCAAACTTGGGTCATATATGTATCTTGCAGAGCCAATAAACTGATTAGATTTTGGGGTCGCGAGATTCAAGGTCAAATGTCACAGCGCTCATTATGTATGCAAAAATAACTTGTGATCGCGTTATCTCAAGAACCCATTGATGGATTCCCGCCAAACTTGGGTCATGTATGAACCTTGCAAAGCCAATGAACTGATTAGATTTTGGGGTCACGAGATCCAAGGTCAAAGGCCACAGGGCTCATTATGTATGCAAAAATAGCTCGCTTCTGTTTTAGTTTGTAAAATTGCTGGATGGCGGAGGCATCATTTTCGACTGTGCGCGGTCGAAGGTCCATCTAGTATTGAATATGTATTCATGAGTACTTATTACAATCTTCTCAGGATAGAATAATACAAGTAAGCATTAAAGGCAAATAGTAAGAAACTGTGTTGTTATCGCAAACTAGAGCACAAAGGTAGGGTTCTGTCCACATTTTAGATTGCATTTTGCTTCTTTAATCCAATTTTTAGTGTGTGCCTGTATTCTCCTAAAAATTTGAACCCGACACTGGATGTAGGCTTTTGTCTAAATCATGTTTAGCAAAGGTTTTCCTTTTGTTGGACTTGATTTTAGACCCAGTGCTTAAGTGAATTGGTAGACTACAGACCACTGAGTGAGATGAAGAAGTAACTAAATGATATTGCGATTTAAAGAGAAGGTTGAGTTCTGGGAAGAGGTGAAAAATAATTTGTGAGCGTAATAATTCTTATTATGCAAGTGTGGAAGATCATCAGATAAGACATGTTCCCTGAAAAGCATGGCTCTTCAAATGCCTTTATATTCTAAATATGTCAGTAACATCGTAAAACTCGGGGGGGGGAGGGGGGGGGGTAGGATTTTTACGCCACGTGTTCGTGTAGTCCCATATACATCTTTCTGTGTACAGTGTTTGTAACTTTACCAAGACTTGGCCAAATTTCTTATCATTTTGATGATTCTAGAACCTTGCAATACACACAAATTCTTAAATGCTAGATGATCAACCCTTTCTGGTCGATTCCACACCGTTTCTTTCACAATGCAAATGCATGACCATGCAGAACTCAACTTCATCTTTAACTCTTGAAATAGCATTGCTGTTACACTCCTGACTATAATGAGAATGTAGTGAGTGTGTCTATATTGTACTCTGCAACATTTGAAAGGTGCTGCTGTCTATAGCATATTGTAGACTTTGTTGTAGCTAATATTCTAAACACATGTTTTTCTATTTATGCACATCCATCATTGTTCAGTTCGTAGTTATGTAACAAAAATTACATAGAGAGCAGGGTCTAAAAAAATATTTTAAAATATCACAAAGCTATCAATTCATGCCAAAACACAGTGCATCTATTTTTTTAAAAATCATTGGATAGTGTATTTGCCACATAAAGCCTAATGCCAATTTACTCTGAGAAGTGATATTTGAGTACTAAAAACTAGGCCATCAGAATTCAGCAAAAATTCACCAAATCATTGACGCATATTGTTAAAAAAGTGGTTAAAATGTAACTTTTCTTAAAGACTGTGGCCCTATTTTTTATAGTTAGAGACATACATTTTTTTTTGTCGCACTGCACACTGTAAGCTTGTTAATTAAAGTATTTCTAAAAGTGTATATTATTCAGACAGTTGAACCTGGATTTCTTTGCAGTATTGTGTTATTCTAAAGATGTCAGGCAAGTGAATTAATAAGGCCAACGTAGATTCTGTGTAGATACTTAATATATTGTGCAAGTTATTTAAGAAGAAACAGCTTTTCTTGATTAATACACAAACACGAAAATTATTCTAGAGGAAGAAGTGGACTAACTTCATGTCAACATTGTTCAAAATGTACTAATAATGAGTTTCACTTGAAAGTTGAATGCTATTGCTCGACATTACAAATGATGTTTCTCCCAAGTATTTCTCAAAACTGAGAAGGTATTTCATTTCTGTACCTCTTGTGCAATCTTTTCATTGATGGATAATCATAATTCTTACTATTTATGTAATCCTGCCATCTTTTTTCCTCAAACTTATAAATGTGCCAAAAACATAATAACTTACAGCTTGGAACCATTTCAATGTAAAGGATGATTAATATGTTTACCTCAAAATGACTGTTTTGAATTTCAGCAAAATTTGATTTGTTTATCAATGCACAAAGGATATTGTTAATCTGTAATTCTATATCCATTTCGATGTATAGATATGATTTCGTTCTAGAAATCGTGGCTAATAATCTAAGTGCAGGTAATTGCCGAGAAGATCAAACATGTCAAAAACACATTGTTTAAATGAGCTACCAATACTCCAACTTTACTCCATCATCATTCTACTAGCTGCAGATGATACAGACTGCCTGTTTTATTATGTGTATGTAATGGAAGTGTCTTCATTGATATAAACCTACCAGCTGTGATTCAAGATTGTACTTCAGTAGTGATGCACTTTAATGCAATTCTCTGTGCACCTGTACCAGATCCAGATCCAGATCCAGATGATGGTAATAATGATAATAATTATGAAATGTATGATGTCTTCCTTAACTTTGCAAGAAACTGAAAAAAAGAATTGCAGTTTATTATATTTGTAATACTTTTGTATCTAATTAAAGTAGAGCATGTCAAATGTATTAACAAATTCTTGGACACCTTGATCATCATCGTATAGAATCGTGTATAGCCAAATGATTGTTTTTTTAAATGTGAATACTGAAGAAAGCTTGTTTGCAATCAAATTGAACGTATTCAAACTCTATGCACAATTCGGGTCATTTCTGTAGGTATAGCCTTGTGACAAGTCTTCCAAAAAATTAAGGCATTACCATTCCTTCTTGCAAAAACCAAGTGCTAGTTATTGTAAATGCTTGAGTCTAGCTTATAAGAGTGCTATCCAAACTTCATTAGAATCTGATCCTTGTATCAACAACACAAAAATCATGTTTTCTTTTTATCAAGCATCTGGTATTGTGTCATATAGTGAGAAATATTGTGCATAAATTCAAGATAATCCGGCACTTTCATATCTTTTAATATGAGAAACCACATTGTATATAACTGGTTTTCGTTGCTCCTTCTGTCTTACTCTATATGCCTATGCTTGTCGATGGTGTGTATAAAAAGAACCAATACTCAACTTTTTACTGGATGTGAATTTTACATGAAGGCTCTTTTTTTCTTCTTCATTTCATTGTCAGAGTTTGATCCATTTCATTGTCGGAGTTTGATCCCAAATGGTCAAACGAGGTACATGTAGAGTGACCGTCTGTTGGTCAGGTATAAGTGTACTCTTGGGTCAAGGAAAATAGTAATGGCCAGTATTCAATTCCATGGTAGTCAAGCTATTTGTTTGTCATTCCCTTATTCTGTTCCAATAGGTAAGCTACAATGCTTGCAGGATAAAATTCAAAGTGAATAGACAAATGATCAACTTGATGAAAATTTTGATCAATTTGAAAAACTTACAAGCCCAAAAATGTTCACTAAAAGCAATTATTTGTTATGATTTTAAGATGCCAAAAGAAGAGCAGATTTCACATCAATAAAAGGTCTTGCCCATTCTTCAATCTTTCAAATATATTTTTCTTTGTAGAGCATTCAATCTTTTACAATCTTTCGAGCACTACATGTGATGAAAAACTACATCATGTTGAGTACATTTGTTTAAATGTGTGAGAATTAAGTCTAAAGCCATGCATGATCAGATGCAGTTTCCAAACATCAAAATTGATATTCATAATTTTTAATATCCTGTTTTCAGTCACGCTTCCTGCCATATTAATCGAGGCAAATGCTGCATAATGTAAAGGGTTATTACCTCAACAAGCATATGTGATTCTACTGATACCACAATGGAAGGTGGTATGCATTGTGGTTGTTGATGATTTGTGGTTAGCACTGAGATGGAATTTAGACTTTGTTTTGTGTGTTGGTCAGCTTGCAGTACTAAGATTTACCCACAGTATTACTAGTCATAAAGAGCACCTTGTCCTTAGGAGGATTGAGAAAAATTGTAAAGAATGTCATCTTGAAATATGGTTGAATTCATGGCAAAAGTGATTGAAATATTGCAAATTGCAAATTTGATATCCTTCATACATTTTGACAGACTATTGTGGTTCAGATTTTTGAAACTTTGATGCTGAATATGTTTGTGAATTAACTCCCGATCATAAAACTTGTAAATGTACTGTGTATGAAGAAATCGTAGTATTTTTCATTTTTCAATTTATAAGCATATATTTTTGATGTTCTAGTTTTGTACATTATACACCATTCCACATTTTCATGTCATTTCATTCCTGTGCGTTGCTGTTTTGAAGAATGAAGATGAAAATGAAAACACAATTTTTGTACTTTTTTTTATAGATGCATCATTAAAAGTGGTAACAGCTTATTTTGGTCTACATATAACCTTTTTTTTCAGTGTAAAGTAATTTACTCCTGAATAATCCTCCGTCATACATGTAAGCCTTGAAAGTGACCAAGCATGATACACTGTAAACATGTTACTTTAAGTCCATGCAACTTGAGAATCAAGTCATGAGGCACTTTCATATAAAAAGGCCAGTTCACACTGGCAGCGAAAAGCAATGATTTTAACATCGTTTTATGCGTCCAGTATACCATGAAAACAATCAACGCTGAAAGATAGAAAATATCATGTGAGAGTCGGAAGAAGGGACAAAACATATTCCTTCTTAATAAATGACACATGATTATTGATCTCTCAACGTGGACCCACTACTCGTGTTGCTTGTTAAACCAAACAAATAAACATGATGAAAATACATAGAGAAACCCATGCTGTGAATTAGCGTGTCATGGGAGTAGAGAGGAAGAATGAAGATATTTTTGAGAATATGAATGTGAAACTATTAATGCTTGCAATACTACTTAATTGATATTTGAGACAAGGAAAGTGGAAGTCTCAACCTCAAAACTATCATTTTGATAATGTTAGTGGTTTGAAACATACAAATGGATGGACTGAATTATAGTGTAACTTGATCATTTGGCTTTTGACCTGTATTCAACCACAACAAACTTGGTTTCAATTCAATATTGCATCGTTACAGAATATGACAAAATGAAACAAAGCAGATTATCAATTACCTCACACATTTTAATCATAATCAAACATATACCGGTACACATTACAAACGTGAACATAAACACATTATTAACAATCATGATTTGATCTGCACTCGATAGCTTATAAACTAAGTTTATCATATGAATTTGCTTCCATGTACATACCGCTATAATAATCTCATAAAGAAACATTAGGTCTACATGAATAAACATAACAAACATAAAAAATGCTTTGCAGACTCCTTCATTACTAGAAGCCTACTGAACATGATTGTGTAACACATAATGAAGGATAAGGATAATTAGAAATAGTGTTTTAATACTTTTCAATGACATTTCTTGGACATGACATTTATAAAGTACATCAATTCAAGGTATACTCTTTTCACATCTTTCGAGCATTGTTTGCATGTATGAGGTAATACTAAAATGAAAGAGCAATTTGGCTTTAAAAATTATATATTACAGAAATTGAATGGTAGACCTGATGAATATTAAACAGATACCAAGATTTATAAAAATCACCCCCCCCCCAAAAAAAAAAAAAAAACTTTACCCGACATTCCATAGGTGTATCGTTAACTGATTATAAAAAATATAAAAGATTAATAAAAACTATATGATATGCATCAAACCAAAGTTGGACTCGAGCTCAATGCGAGTACAGGTGCATGAAGTAGTCTGCTAACAAGTTGCTTCTTTTAACTGGTTATTTCTCTTTACAAAAGTTTAACTGAAAGCCAATATTTTTAATACAGTATAGATAGAACCAAGACTGAAACGCAACAAAAGACTTTGTATAGCCCTTTGACAAATAGGGCGAGGCTTTTTACTGAAATGCTGAGTTTTTGGAGGAAACTTCCCCACTTTTTATTATCGTTGCTGTATGGCAGTATACAAAAGAACATGGAGTACAGGTGCATGAAGTAGTCTGCTAACAAGTTGCTTCTTTTAACTGGTTATTTCTCTTAAAGATGAAGTTGAGTTCTGGTCATGCGATTGCATTGTGAAAGAAACGGTGTGGAACCGACCAGAAAAGGTCGATCATCTAGCATATAAGAATTTGTGTGTATTTCAAGGTTCGGAAATCATCAAAATGATAAGAAATTTGGCCAAGTCTCGGTAAAGTTACAAACACTTGCACAGAAAGATGTATATGGGACTACACGAACACGTGGCGTAAAAAGCCGGCCCCCGATTTTTACGATGTTACATGCATATTTAGAATATGAAAGCATTTGAAGAGCCATGCTTTTCAGGGAACATGTCCTAACTGATGTTCTTCCACACTGGCATAATAAGAATGAGTAATGCTCACAAATTATTTTTCACCTCTTCCCAGAACTCAACCTTCTCTTTAACAAAAGTTTATCTGAAAGCCAATATTTTTAATACAGTATAGATAGAACCAAGACTGAAACGCAACAAAAGACTTTGTATAGCCCTTTGACAAATAGGGCGAGGCTTCTTACTGAAATGCTGAATTTTTGGAGGAAACTTCCCCACTTTTTATTATCGTTGCTGTATGGCAGTATACAAAAGAACATGGATATGGTTTGACGTAGATGACTGAAATCTTTGTGATAATGTGAAGTACCTACTGGTACAATGCAGAAGCAAGGAAAACAAAGGCAGTACGTGGCATATTATGGTTGGTAAATTTACATGGCATGATGAGGAATGCATTCCCTTGAATATACATGTAGCTCAGGAAAGAAACCATATCCCAAGATCTAGTATAAGGGGTAATTACTGTTGAAAAAAAGGATCATTTTATTGCATAGAGAAAGAGTGTTGATATGAGGGTCAAGAGCTAAATAAGGAATGTAACCATAATAGGGAGAAATTCTACAGAGGTCTGAGATGCATGTATGTTCTTATACATGTACAAGCTTTAGGAGGCGCGATAGCTCAGTTGGTAGAGCAGTGGTCTCATACATGTAATCCGGCGATCCGGGTTTGAAACCAAGGTGATGCACTTATGCCCTTTGGTGAGGCATTAATCCTCATTAACGAGCATTTATGCTTCCTTATCAGTCAGGTAATATAACCACCACTACTGCCTACATTATTAGGGGTAATTTTTTTCGAAAAAAGACCATTTTGCACAATTGAAAAAATGGACCCATTTTGAATGGTATTTTTGTTAAAAGCGGCACCCCGTGTGTCCGAATATGTGAGTACTGAGTACCTATCCCCCCCCCCCCTCTTACAACCTGCAAGAAAATAATAACTTTCCAATTTTGCAAATGAGCGATACAAGCAAGCAAGACTTATAACTCTTTAGGGAAGTAACTATGTAACTGTGTCATCAAAATATACAAAATAAAGTATTTTTTAATATTATCTAGACCTTCTTGCTGCAAAAAATGATTCTTGAAGGAGGGGGGGGGGGGGGGGTGCCACAGCCCTCCCCTCATATATGCCCATGTGAACGACTTTTGTTCAGAAAAAGTGACCTGTAATTACACTGCAAAGCATACATGTTGGTGCATGGCAGGGATTATTTGCACAATGTATTTATTTACTCCCCAGCAAAAATCATTTAGAATCTCTGAGTCTTTGTAAACAGTAAGAACTTTAAAAGTAAAGCAAAATAATTTTTTGATACTGGTCGAAGTACATCTGGTAGTTCAACAACTAGCCAAATATCATGAACAATATGCACGTGTCATTTGAAGTTTTATATGAGTTTATAACAGTTTATATGAGGGCAAATGAGGCACAAATAATCCATTGAATATAAACCAATATTAGGATTAATTTTCCATGCACTGCTTGTTTCAATTAACCTGATGTGTAATGGTATCATGAGGACATAAAGAGGATGCTTTGCTTACAAATATACTTTGCTATGATTGAAAAATTACATGCATCATACCCTGTTCAATAGATCCTTTAGATCAAAAGACTGTGATCACTGAAATGAAAAAATAAAACAAAGGTAACTTTAGAAAGGATATACTAAGAAGAAGAAGAAAAAAGATTTCAAAAGAGTTGTAAAAAATTCCCAAAGTACTTATTGTTAATTGCACTGAAAAGAAACACACACCTAAAACCATTATGTGGGAGTAACTCACTGGGAAAAACAAAATAATAACAAACAGCAATTACTGTTCAAAAGAAAATTAAAAAATATAATGATTTTTTTCGCTGGTCTATAAAATTATTGTCATGATCACTTGACATCGCTCTGAATCAAAATATACACCTCAATGCCATAGTCATAATTAAAGTGACATGTACATATATTCAATAAATTCTATAAATTTGTGACCTTCTTTTAAATATACTATATCTTTCACAATCAATAAGTAACTTACAAAGAAATGCATCGTAATTTTTAATATTGATCATACAATCATGATTACACCAACAAATAACAAATTTAGACAATCACAAAACAACACAAATACACTGTAAACATTATAGAAAAATGTTTTTAAATCTATGTAGAAGTTTAAACCCTCTTAGAATCAGTAGTCTACATATTATTCATTCATGCCATTGTGATTGTCTCTGTCATATACATTTACATGTTTTTACATCAATATATTAGGACATTTTAAAGTGCTTCACAATGAATTAAACACAAAACAATACCAAAAACAGACTTAAACAGTGCTTCGGTGCATTCATCGCTATTGGGTCATTACTCTTTGTATAGTTTTCTTTGACTAACCCATTTGAAAGTATGTAAAAAAAGTAAGTAAAAAGGTAAACAAATTGTATCAAAATCAATAATAAAAATACTGCATCGACTGGCCAGATTTTAAGGCCTAATATTTTTGTAATGCTAAATATCTATGGAATGTGATTCACGTTTAACTTCTTACATGTAAGCATGAAAACATCTCTGCATTGAAGCTTGGATGGGAAAGGCAAACTCTAAGTTAGATGATCTCTAAAATAAAAATGTCTTGCCTTCAGTGGCTTATACTGTAGGGAAGGGGCATGTGACTCTTAATAAAATGGTAAAAAAATATTACAACAGCAAAAGATATAAAAATATATGAGAGAGAGAGAGAGAGAGAGAGAGAGGGGGGGAGAGAGAGAGAGAGAAATACAGATAGAAAGGGAGATGGAAAAGGAAAGTGAAACAAGCTGAGACCGAACCTCCCCCCCCCCCCCCCCCCCCCCCCCCCCCAATGACAACAGTAAACATCAATGGCTGGAGCTGCATGTACACTACGTCACTGTTTGTACAAGCCTAGAGGTTACAGACCAGACTAATTGGGCTAATTTTCAATGTAGATCCAGTTTCTAAAAACCACAATTTATGCATTACATTTACAATGAAATGTATTTTAATTGCAACAAGAATTTCCTCACATGACTGTACAAGTTATGATCATAAGGATATGAAGAAATAGATCATGATTAATCTCCAATTCATATTTGATTGCAGAGTACATGTATTGGTGGATGATCAGAACAATAATTATATCCATGATGCAATTGTACATATATATATATTCTATTCTAAATATAAATTGTAAACCTTTACCAATCATATAAATTCATTGTCACAAATAGACTATTGTATTCTACAATAATATCTGAGAACACTAATTCTAGCCTGCCCTACCAGTTTGAAGATGTACTGTCTATGTGAAGTGCAGACAGACCAACTAGAAGTAGATAAAGAACATCACACTTTTGACTTGCAATTTTGGCTTCATTTTTGTTGTGCAGCTAGTGAGCTAGGCAGTATGAACAAAATAACAGTACCTTCCATCTTGGAAACACACACATTTCTCTAATTGAGTTCATTCCTGCAATAAACATGAAAATATCTAGTCACTCCAAAATGATTCATCTTGTCTTTATAACCCATTAACTACTGCATTCTTCCATTCCTCTAGGCTTGAATACAGAAGCCACTCAGTTCCAATACGCAATGGCTTAAAGACACCTCAAGGGGTTTAACTCAAGGAATGGTGTCATACCTTGTCACATAGCCTTTCCTGTATGACCTGGAGTAAATGAACAGAGCGAAGGACCACTTCCAGGTCATGAACACCCATACAGACGCGAGATAGAAACCCTGGTCGGGTCCATTCACTGGCATCAGGTCTAAAGACGAAAGGGGAAAATGAGACAAAATCGTATCAGTAACAGAACAATATGGGGACTTGTTACTCAATAAAATGATTACAATCCACTATATAGTTTAAGCAATCAGTTATATTTCATTTCCAGGAAGGAGTATAACAATAATAAAGTACAATAACAAATAACAACAATAACAACTACATGATGTTAATAAGTATCGGCTTGAGTGGTGATGTAGATATACAGTAGGCTTACTGTTGCACCATGTGACAGTCCTTTTCAGGACTCCCCAATCCTCCCCCCTCTCTCACATGGTGCAACCGTTACTACTGTATGCAGATCAACCATAGACCCATATGATCACCAAAAGAAACCAAGTTTCTGTAAAAGGCTTTCCTCATTAGCTGGTAGTATAATACAGAAATACATAATTAAATTGTGTGGCACAATGTAAAGAAAATTATTACTGTATAAACAAAGCTATGAAAAGTGAATCAATATTAGCTACATGTACAGTGTACATAGAAATTAAATCCCCCTTTTTTCCTGATAATAATCTAAAAGTTATCCTGCATATCTGTTGTCATGGTACAGCCATAACAATCATTCATTGCTATTCAAATACTCAGCCTTTGGGTATTAAAATACCAAATGCACGGGGTACAGTCCGAACCTTTTAGACAACCAGCTTTATTGAACAAGTGTCTTGAAAAATTGTGCTCATGAATAAAACTTAAAGATAAAGTTGAGTTTTGGTCATGCAATTGCATTGTGAAAGAAACACTGTGGAATTGATCAGAAAAGGTTGATCATCTAGCATATATTACTTCAAGGTTCTGGAATCATCAAAATGATAAGAAATTTGGCCCAGTCTTGGTAAAGTTACAAGCACTGTGACTGTACACAGAAATATGTATATGGGACTACACCAACATGTGGCATAAAAATCTGTCCTGATTTTTATGATGTTACATGCCATGTTTAGAATATTAAAGCATTTGAAGAGCCATGCTTTTCAGGGAACATTCTTTGTCTGATGTTCTTGCACACTTGCATACGCTCACAAATTATTTTTCACTTCTTCTCAGAACTCAATCTTCTCTTTAAAGGGAAAGTCCACCCTGAAATTAAGTTAGTTTTAATAGGAGTAGAAAAATGAGAGAAACAAGTCAGTGAAAGTTTGAGCAAATTCCGATTAAAAATAAGGAAGTTAGAATTGTTTAAGTTGTGATCAATCAAACACAAATTGGCAACTCTATGACGTAAAATGCGAGCTCAACTTCCATTTGCTAGTACTAAAAAAATCTAAAATTTTCATTTTCCCTCAAGAAAAATTTCAACCATACATGCACCCTAAATATAATAATTGCAAATATGTTTCTATACTCCCCCTGCAAGGAACAAATATATATTCCGTCATCAATAACGAAGAAAACATGATTTTATGGAATATTATGCACAAAGCAAATGAAGGAGAGCTCGTATAATACGTCACAGAGTTGCCAATTTGTATTTGATTGATCACAACTTCAATAATTCATAACTTTCTTATTTTCATTCAGAATTTGCTCAAACTTTCACTCACCTGATTTTCTTATTATTCTGCCTCTATCGAAACAAACTTATTTTGGGGGTGGACTTTCCCTTTAAAGATGTTGGAGCTGTGACTTATATTACCTTGTCCTCTGACGGCTCCAAGAACCACATATGTTACCAAGGCAATCAATGAACCAAGCTGGACGAAGAATCCAAGAACGATGAAGAATTTGAGCCGATAAACCCAGAGATCTCGTTGGCCCCTCATATGCTGGATGTGAACGGTGAGTGTGAGCAATGCAAAGATTCCTAGAAATTGGATGAGATGTAGTAAATTATGACCAATCCAGTTTATGTAGCTCGGATGACTTACATTGATTGGACACAACAAAAGATTTCCAAAATCCGACATAATATTAAAAGCTATCTAAAATCTGTCTACTTTACTTGAAAATGCATGGTGATCAAAATAAATAAATTTGTCTACTGTTTGGTGATGGCTAGTGAATTTTCAACAATATTGTCGTTATCTAACTGTAACTGTCTGAGCGCCACAGTTAATGTTCATCTTTTTTTGTTCATATCAAATTTTCCATACCAAATTGAGCCTTGGCATAAGTTTGTCTATTTTGTCATTGCATCAGCTGAGAAGCAGCGTCAGTGATACTGTGACCATAGCTCGCGCGTGATCCAAGTTCACGCAGTTCCATTTCTCAAAAATCAGCAAGATTTCGATAATTTGATACCGCCAATGAAAAGAAGGAGGTGAGTTGGCTCAGTCTGAAACCGTCTGCCTGTTGAACCAAAGGTCCCAGGTCCGAATCCCACCCAGACGGATGACTGAAGCCTGTGTTGCATTGTGTGTTAACGCACCCCTCCCCTTCATAGATGCCGGCTATGTTAAGTGGAAAAACACTCCGTCCCTCGGATAGGATGTTAAATGGAGGCCCCGTGTAGAGAAGAGTCACTACATGTACCTTTGCATGTTAAGAACCCACTGCACTATTCGTATAAGAGTAGGGGGAATTCCCGGTGTAGGGGTCCACCTGCACACACCCCAGTACGATAATACTTTGTGAAGAGGAATCTACTCAAAATGGAAGAAGAACCTAGAATTTCCTGGTGACAAAATTTCTTTGAAAGTAGGTGTAAAATTACGAAAAATTTTAACGAAAGATGAAGATCGTCATCTTCTTTAGATGTTTTGTCCGTTCCGAAGAAAGATATGAACATAAAAATACTTACATTGACAAGGGTATGAAATCTTCCTTTATGAGTTTAAGATATTCAAAGGGATTTTTTTTTTGTGGACATTCCAAAGCATGATCTTTTAACAACTATTATTGGGATTCATGGAAATGAGCACTAACATTAACAGAGTTACACTTACAGAGCTAGAGACTAGTAGAGTAGAAAGAGTTAATTCAACGAGTTAATAATAATAAAAAAAGGCACCAACACTGACGCTTGCAGAATACAACTGCAGATCTCCGAGAACAACGGAGGAAGAAGAAGAAGAAGAAGAAGAAGAAGAAGAATAGTAGATTCTAAACAACACTTTTACTTTAAATTTAATGAGCCTAGATTTGAGCAATATATTTATAGCCTAAAACTTTAAAAGATGGTAGGAATTTCTCAGTATTTACCACTTGCCAATCCCCACAGAGCAATGTGTAAATTATAGAACTGTTCAGTAGCTATGAAGCAAATAAAGATGGACAGCCCAACAACAAGTCCTGTGACTGCAAAGGCGATACGACACCTCATCCGCAGTGGAGTTGTAAAGTCATCCATGATTGCAAAATGATCCTCGCCTCGCCCCTGGCCTGCTGAGCTGAGCTGAGCTGAGGGTGCTGCTACTCTACAGACCACAGACACAGTGCAGTGCAGTGGTCATTCACTTCTTCTAAATCTAAGTTATAATTTACTAATACTAGTGAAAATGGATGATCAGATCTGCCTTGAGTTAGACTTGGATCACAGTTGCTGATGCTGGAACACCAAGCTGAATATTCACATAAAATAAGTGTTGTTATAAGAAGAAAAACCATACAATATCATTTAAATTGAGATTTAGTCACTGCGTTATCAATCGATCATTGCGTAATGATGATGAAGCATCCTATTTTTTTTTTACACACGCGCACGACGCGCGCCCTCTCGAGCTGTGGTAACGTTCGTGTAGTCTACGATCTACAGATTATATTTAAACATGGAACGTAATAGTACGTTATGATTTGTTGAAAATGAAATGAGTGCTGAGTGATGTTAATATAGGTTGTAAGTATTCTTTATCTTTTCCTGCTTAGGATTATTGGTCATGAAAGTGATGATTTCGAAAATAACAAACGTTTAAGGTGTACAAAGATTTACCTCTGGTCCCGTGTATTCACATTAATGTACTGACTACTGTAGATGACTAAACTGAAGTCTTATGCAAGTTATGGGGGGGGGGGGGGGGGGGGTCTGCCCAGTGCTCGCTCGACAATCAAGTATATGACAGGCGTAGAATCATAATATTCATGATGGATGATGGTATTGCATGAATCGTAATCTAGAAGCCAGGGGGTTGTTTCTCAAAACCGTCGTAAGTCTAGTAAAACTTGATCTTGACTTGGTTGGAATTAATCTATCTAGACTAGACCTCTAGTCTTAACCCTTTGAGAGCGAGCCCGCGCAAGGCGATTGTTTCCTCTGTGACGGAGCAATTTCAGCGCATCGCCAGTAAAGGAAAAATTGTCGGTGCTTTCTACTGTCATTGCTCATTGCGCCTCATACATTCATTTTTGTGATTTTTAGTAAATGTAAAAATGAAAGATCAGACTTTTTCCTTTCTAAAAATATAAGTTTTGTTTATCAATACGAACAATAAGGTCTGTTATTTTTTAGGGGAATTGCCGTCTTATTTTGCTGAAGCTTCACGTCTTTCCTTTTCAATACACTCACAATACAAATTGCATAAGCACCGCCGCACGCGCAGATCGGTCGATACCTCCATTCATTTCCCCATTGTCAATGATTGTCGTCTACTAAAGCTCGGCCGATAATCAACCGAGCCATAAATAATAGGTAGTTTACAGATAGCACATGGTACAAATGACCCCAAATATCCACAGATCTTTTACACATGGAGAAGTTCCACTTTCAGGGTCGAAATCGAACTGATAATACGACCCGTAATACGAATATCTGAAATGCGGAAGGGTGCATAAAGCAAGAATCCTGGCAAGAATATAGAACGGACGCGTGCGTACGCATCCGTCTCTAGCTGTACGGGTATTTCGGGGCCTTTTTTCGATCCGAACACTAACTTAGAGTAAAGTTGAAATGATATCACTTTTTCTCGATTTTTTTCTACATAACTATATTATTTTTTTAATCAATGAGATGAATGAATGTATCTAAATAATACTCCAAAGAATTTTAGCACATAATAGCCAATAATAAGCTGGTAAACTTTGTCAACATATTAGGAATATATCTCGGCTTCTGTAGAAGCCGTCGTCACAGACTTAACAACTCGCTCGGCTTCTGTAGAAGCCCATCGTCTCCAAAGTGTTAATAATATGACAGAAATGTATTTACAATCTGAATAGGTGAAACTTTGTCAACTTGCGGCACTTTTATTTGTATTGCTATATTATTATTTGTACTTGTTTATATTATAAGCCTTAGTTTGTTTTGTTTTATTATCTGTAAAAATATTGTCACAATTCAGCCCTCTGACTTCAAATATATATGTTTTTAATAAATCTTGAATCATAATTAATAATATGAATAAGATATTCTCTTTTTCTTTTTTTAATTTTAGGATTCTTAATTTACCTCACCATGGATGAAATCAAAGGGCGTTGCAACATCTTGACACTCCCAGAAGAGATCATCATATACCACATCATTCCATTGCTCCAAATGCCTGATATCTGTGCTGTGAGAGGTGTGTGCAAGGAGTGGTTCGATCTAGTCAACATTCACTTTGCTCAACTCAAGGTACTGGATCTGACACCGTGGGACTTTCTTGTAACCCCTGAATTCCTCCAGTGTGTATTGTCTCATGCATCGGGGTTGAGGGAATTGAGGTAAATATTAGAGATGGTAAACTTTTGTTACTTTTTATCCTTTTTTATTCAATTTATTAAAAAAACATATCATATAAACTGCAATGATTTAATTGTGATTAAATGATCACACATCATTATGAAAAAGGGTATTTGACTCATGTAAAAACAAAAACAAAAAATACAAAGAAATTACTAAGTTTCATTGAAAACATGCAATTTCAGATGAAAATATCAAATTGTGAAGGTTCTATGTATGTCATAGCTTTTGAAATGCTACTGTACATAGTGCACTTGTTGTTCTTTTACACAACAATTTTTTACCACCAGGGGAGGCAGTATTGTCAAAACAATCAAAGAGGATGTTTAATCTTTAAGCTCAATTTAAAGATAAGCCTACTGGTTTGTGTATATCTGTAAAGGGCTTAGAGGCATTGGCCCGTATCCTGAAGTTGTGTGTAACTCCTGTTTAACTAAACAGTTGTCTAAGTCCTGTCTTAGTCCCGTCTAACTTTAGACACAAAGTCGTGTCTAACTCTTTTCGTATTCTGAAGTCGTGTTTAAATAAAGTTAAACACGAAGTCCTGTTTAACTTTAGACAACTGCGAGGGGTTGTTTAAGTCCTGTTTAAGGGCGCGATTCTGCTGCTTTTCAACGTCGAAGGTGCACTCTACTTGCTGACCCCGAACTTACGGGGGAGAACGATGGTACGTGCATCCTCTAAAATTTCAAATACATTTTGCAGGATTTTTTCTTGTGTAGCCTAATTTTTTTTCTCAATAATATTAACTATTCTTATCTACTGGTAACATCTTGGAAATTCCATAATCTATAATAAACTAAGCATTCTGTTGGAGAAGTTTCTTTTGTGGTTCTTCCAAGCACTGAGGCACTGATAAGTAGTGTGTTTGTCAATCTCAGTGTACAGTACATGTACGACGTACGTACATACACACAGTATGCATGCAGTCTAGTCATTACGTCACGATCACATCACCATGGTACCAGCACGCGCACAGCTAGCTGTGCGTGTTTATTTATTTATCCGGTGCGCGCACGCATGCGCATTGGGTCTTTCGACAGAATAAACGCCTACTGGGCATGCGCAGAAGTCGTGACTAAAAGTTAAACACGACCTGCGCAGAACTTAAACAGTTGTTTAGTTAAACACCACTTAGACAGGACTTAAACAGTTGTTTAGTTAGAAGATACTTAGACACGACTTCAGAATACCAAATTAAGTTTGACAGGACTTAGACACGACCTCGTGTTTAAGTCGTGTCTAACTAAACAGTTGTTTAACTTTAGACGTGGCTAAGTTAGACACGACTTCAGAATACGGGCCATTGTATTTAGCGCCATATAAGCAGAATATTATCATTATTATTATCGTATATTCTCAGGTTGGATAGGTGCTGGAAAGCAGTCATCCGTGAAACAATGGATGTAGCAGCAGAGACGTGCAGAGAAGTAAGATATGCCTCGTTCTCGAAGTGTGGAGGGTTAAAGGAAGAATCTGTCATCAAGATGGCCGAATCTTGGCAGCATCTGGAAGAGTTGGACTTGAGTAGCTGTTATCAAGTAAGTATTACCTCCATTTATTTATTTATTTATTTATTGTTACCATTTCTGTAGAGTCACATGGATTGGAAAAGAAGACCTCTTGTTTTGTATTCAATGTTTTTCTTTGTTTTAGCCGAATAAACAATAATGACAATAATAATAATAATAAGTAAACCCTCTCTCAAGAAAGGAGGGTCCAAGTGAATAAATTCCTCCCTGTCTCTATGTGCCATCAGAAGTGCAATTATATGGCTTTTGATGTGGTATATCTTGAACATCGACAACAGTGCTGCTACCAATCCAATTAGAGTACTTATTTTCAGAAAGTTTGGAAAGTAAAGAAAGAAAAAATCTGTAGGATTACACTTTCCCCATATTTTTACTTTTCCTCTCAATCTCTTGCTCTCATATTGATGTTCAGAAGAAGAAAACAAGTTACAATGCATTATTAATGTGGCATTCATATTTTCCAATTATTATATATCTTTTTGCTTTTATATGTCAACAGATAATGGATAGAACACTTTGTGGCCTTGCTGATAATGCCTGTTCTTTAAAAGAACTGTGCGTAGGGAGTGTGTATGGAGTAACAGACGTTGGTGTTAGTCATCTTGCATACAAGTGCCCTACATTAGAACTACTAGATGTCAGTTATTGTCATCGGGTCAGTAATGCTGGACTCCAGCCATTTGTTACGCAGACCAAAGAGAAAGAAACATCGCTGAAGCATCTCAGAATAAAGAATTGTCATAAGGTGAGATATCTGATTTTGACTTTGTGTCACATATAAATGTATTTATATATGTACAGGGGATGTATATAGTTTCAACTATATATGTATATATATATAAGAATAAAAACAGTCCTACGGAGGGTGATGAAAAACAGACCAGTGAAGGAAAAAATAATGAAACAACCGTAGAAGATTCTCCCACATCTATCCCTCCTTTTTCTTTTGCATATTCCCAGCCTTCTCTTTGTTTGGTCATCTTTTCCTCTTTGTTTTGTCATCTTTTCCTCTTTGTTTTCTGAACTGTGTGCACTTGGCAACTGTTGCACAGTTGAATAAATTTGTCATTACTTGACTAAGGCTTAATGTTGAAAATGTGTAAATTTTGTATCTCTAATGGTTTTTATGCCTCCATTGCGAAGTAGCCGGAGGCATTATGTTTTCGGGTTGTCCGTCCGTCCGTACATACGTACGTACGTCTGTACGTACGTACGTCCCCTTCTCGTGATCGCGTTATCTGAAGAACCGATTGATGGATTCCTGCCAAACTTTGGTCATGTATGTATCTTGCAGAGCCAATGAACTGAGTAGATTCTTGGTTCATAAGGTCAAAGGTCATGGGCTCATTATGTAAGCAAAAATAGCTTGTGAACGCATTCTCATTAGAACTGACAGATGGATTACTATTTAAATCAGGACATCTTGCAGAGCCAATGAACTGAGTAGATTTTAGGGTCATGAGGTCAAAGATCAAAGGGTCATAATGTTTATGAGAAATTGCTTGTAATCACGATATTCTGAGAAATGAGAACCTGTTAATGGATTACAATTGAACTTGAATTTGAAAAATTTCTTCAGTTTTGGTTTGTAAAATTGCTCTATGACGGAGGCATCATTTTCGACTGCGCACAGTCAAAGTTCCATCCAGTTCATTATTTATTTTTGCTTATATTCTTGCATATATATGTACATGTATTTAAATGTTTTATAATCAACCAGTCCCAAAACTGAATGGGATCATTATGAAAATATGGTATTACATGTATTTGAATAATATTTGTTTCCTTTTCATCTGAAAAAAAATTGATGAGCTTGTAAAAGCACTGGATAGATTGTGCTTGTTTTATGATTTAAAAAATTATGACAATTTAGGCCTAACCATTTAGTCATGATATGTCACTTTTTTTTAAATACCTGATATTATGTTTTTTTAAATTTGAAGCTTACAAGAAAGTTTGATTAATGGTTTTCTATTTGTCTCTTGCTTTCTCACTTTGCTCTCTTTTTGTTGCTCTCTCCTTTTTGTTGTTCTCTCCTATTCTTTCTTTCCTAACTTTTCTCACTGTCTGCATTTCTTCTTTCATCACCAGGTCAATGATGTCATGATTGGAAAACTTCTTAGCAGTGGTATTCAAGTCAACAATATGTTCTGATGACATTACTCTTCGGATGGATTCAGAATCTTTCTCTTTTGTCATGTGAGATTTTATACATGCAGGTACATGTGTGTGACAATTTGAAATGTGTGAAACAATTCATACTGTTTGTGCAATTGATGTGAGTTAGTTTTTATCTTTTTACAATGGACAAGGACTAAATGGTAGATTTTAACCTACATCATTTGCAGTGAAAAAGTCAGGATATTTTTACTAATTTAGCAAATCACTACAAGCCCTCCCCCCCCCTGATTTAAAACACATTTTGCATACCGTCCACAACATAGAATACTGCATGGCCCTTTAATTGTGTAATTTTTTGGAATTGTGCCCCCCCCCTCACCCCAACATGCACACTTTACAAAAACTCCTAGATCTGCTCATGGTTTATATGTCCCAAAGCCTTTAAATATGGAATATGGTAAAGAATTTCATATTTCTAGAGATGTTTTTATACTCATTCTACTGATCAGAGTACCGGAGTGTTGGCTCAGTCAGTAGAGCATCTGCCTCACAACCGGGAGGTCGTGGGTTCGAACCCCGGCCGCGTCATACCAAAAGACGTTAAAAGATGGGAGTTGTTGCTACCTGGTTTGGCGTTCAACAATATGGGATAGAGCAACGTCGATCTGGCGCTGCTCAGTGGCTGCCGGGCTCACGATCAATTGGGCAAAAAGAATTTCCGTTTCGGTTTAATAAAATTTGGAGTGGACTTATTAGGCTATAAAAAAAAAAAAAAAAAAAAAAAAAATATGAGAAAGTCGGACACACTAATCATAAAGCAGGATAGTCGCAAATAAGACGTCTTTTAAATTTTTCAACCTTTAAAAATCAGAGAGCGGAATCTGGCAGAAAACAAAGGTTTCTTTTAGATGAAGTATCATAATCAAAATCTGCTTTTCAACAGTCTTTAAATGATTCAATGCAGCTGACTTTTAAAATGTGTACCGGTATGCAAATTATGCATGTACAGTTTGTATTATATATTTATTTAAACGTTGATCTCACCTCTACATTTTAATGTCATGTATCTAATGTTTTTTCATTTGTCAGTAAAAAAATAAATGTTAGTGCGTGGCAATTTGTCAGTACATCGTTGTATTATTAACTTTTGCATGAGCTGGGGTCTTTAAATCTTTTTATTAATTATCAATTTTACACATTGTTTGATTTATGTTTCTGGGAAAGTGTCAGTAAAAAGATGCAAACTTAAAACTGTTAAATGATGTGTTTTTATCTCAATACATTAAGTTATAAGATATGTATATCTATTAAATATTTTTGTATATCATGTATTTTTATAGAGAAATTTGAAATATTACGTTTTGTTAATAAAAGGTGGTATTTCATTGATATTAAACTTTCTCTTGTCCTTATTTGGTTTGCATTTTGTGTGTGAGGTGATATACATGTTTATTGATTAAGCATTTTCAATGGCATGTATGGGTCCCTATTTTTTGTTTTTAAAGTCTGCATGTAAGGAGAGAAGTAATGGACCAATGTATCTTGATTCTTGAAGCGAGAGATGAAGATTAACTGAGTACAGGGTACAGGAAAGAGAGAAAGAAAGAGAGAGGGAGTATTAACTAACATTTGCATTATATTTCGATAAACTGGAAAATGATGACAAATTCAAGATGCAGAGAGATATGGGTCATTTGTATCATCTACAATAACACAGTGCATATAAAAAAGTGTACCCAGCTTTGATAGCTTCATATAAAAAAGTTACAATCTTTTTAGCCATAAATATAATATTTGTCATTATAAAGAGTAATTCATATCTTATCAAATGATACCCTATTCATGCATTTTTAACATGAATGACTCAGCACAGGGGTTTTAAAAATATATGATCAAGGCCGCCTTGTACATGAACCAAGTGTGTGCTGAAGCGAAGACCCATTGAGCATTGAGTTGGTTTTGAAACTGATTGGAAAATAAATTTGATTTTGAAATTCATTAGTGAGTAGCAAATTTGAAAATATTAGTCATTATGAGGATTCATGATGGCTCAATGATAAATCTAGTACAGGTAAATATTATGATATTTTCCTTTTTGATAATGCAATCTTCACATTCCTTGATTGAGGTAACCCTTCTTAATGAGTCATTCAGAGTGAACAAAAGGTTATTTCAGCATGCAATCGTTGTTACTAAAATTCAGTATCACTTGCTTTGGTATGCATGATATGCATCAGCACATGTCCATCCCTCCCGAATCTTTTGATGCATTTTCTGTGTCTTCGATGAAAATAATCAGTTTAGGTCATGTGCTATCTCGGTCATACCTCATGCAGCCAAGATGGTGAAATGAAGAAACGAGCAGAGTGTATTTGTTGCAGGAAACTATCATGAGACAGGGAGTGTCCAGACGATGCACAATGAATATAGGTTTCGTTTTCCCAGAGGAATTTGTTTTATGGATTATTGAAAACAATATCCCTAAAAACACTTCAAATGATTTTAGACTCGAAAAACAAAGGTATCGTTACTAAGTCATTCTAGTCATGACATGTAATAATGTATGTATGTATACATGTATGTATCATTAGATAGGATATGAGTTATTCTTTATCATGAGATATATTTCATGACCACAAAGATTGTACCTCTTTTCTACGAAGGTACCAAAGTTGGGTGCACTTTTTTTATAAATACGCATTGTATATAGAAGGACAGGAAACTTTTGAAAGGGGTGGGCAGAGAAGTACAAATGTTAAGAGGGTGTACACGCTACTGAGAGAGAGAGAGAGAGAGAGAGAGAGAGAGAGAGAGAGAGAGAGAGAGAGAGAGAGAGAGAGAGAGGGGGGGGGGGAGGGGGATGAGGAGGGAGAATTTGATAGCTTATAGAGAGGTACAAGATGAAAATGCAGACGGCAACATAAAAATGAATAAATGCCGTAGATCAAGCGAACTTGTAATAAAATATCAAATGTTTCATCAATTTTATTGCTCTAAGATATACACACATCAATATATTTTTCAAAAATATGCTCGATAAATTCTTGTGTAAATGTGGAAAGGAAGTTTCATTATTGCACGTTTCACGAAAGTCCCGATTTGACATTATCATTCATAATGGGTTTATAAACGTACCACATTCATAAAAGTACAGTAAATATTTACAACAATCGTGACATGGTGTTTTTATTCACGTACATGAAGGTATATCCAACATTATTGGACAATAAGAAGAAATCTGTTTTTTTTAAAGCCTTTCGATTTCGTATTCGTTCAGTAAAGCAAATACATTTTACAGACAATTCTTAATGAAATATACGTGCACACCCATCATTTATATATACAAGCAAGAAAGGCAACAGGAAAGACAATATTTCAAAATGTGTTATTTACTCAGACTTGGAAGGAAGTGAGAAAACATGGAGATAGATTCGATCATTATTCAGAATTGAGATTATTCATTCCAGAGTAGTGTACCAAATAATTTGTTCTAAATCTGTATTTATTGAAATGCTCCATGTGATACTTCTTAGAAGCATTCTCGGTATGCCTTTTCAGCAACTTTTGCTGCGTTTCAGCAAATAATTTGCGGGTATGGAACTATTAACACACGCAAATTAGTACATTGTAACAATGTCGATTTATCGGGTCGTGTATCTTTTTCTTTTTAATAGATATTTCAACGATTTTTTATTTTCAGTTAGACCTAAAACTATTATCGTTTGGATATTAATTCTAACCTTTCGCATGACCTTCCATTTATCTTATCTATTCAGTCATGCTTTGAGATAGAATATTTTTTTCTCTATCGATACACCTCCCCCCCCCCCCCCATCCTCCCCCACCTAATGTTATACTTAACGTCTTCCTAACTAACAATTTAGAATAAAATGCGCATTAAAATATCTTGTTTCCTAAAATATAGACAGATATTCACAATAGATCATCATCTCTTCGAGATTAAAGTTTGAACCGTATTCACAATGCACAAGAAGCAACAATAACAACAAATGAAAACATTGCTGTTCATAACAAATAATGATCGTGATTTATATCATTACAAATTGTTATAAATGTAGTATTGCACTCAGTTTCAAATTCTTAAAGCGTAAATTAGTAAAATAGGACAAAGTGGAAACATAAGGTCTGTTTTAGAGAGAATCGAAAGATTGACAAATTAGATGTTAACAATAGGTTGTATTAAATTGCTAGTTACACTACATTTCACACATAATGTCACTTCATTATTCTCTCTTTCAACTCGGCCATTTTGACTTTATAGAAACTGGGAATGGATTGTCTGTTCAAATAATGAACCATTTTCCACGTATGCTGAAATGCAGCTCGAACAATCATGTATGTCTCAACAACTCATGAAGTTATGAAAATGTCCGGAAAATGTTCGTTATATCTGTGGTACTTTCTTGTAGTTCATTTCTTTTCTGGAGTCTTTTTCGGCTGGATCTTTAAAAGTCGTTTCCATTTTCCCACTCTGCTTTCTCCATCGCATTCCGGATATCGCCTGGAAAGTAAGAGAAAGATAATATTTGGATAAATCAGAGTACTCTACATATATTTTGTTTATAGGGACTTGGTAACAATGTTTAGATGTGAGAAAAGGGTGCTAAGGTAGTGACTACAATGCTAGATGTCCAATTAAACATAATCTGAAAATTTGAGTGAAAACAGACCATTATTAATGATAAAAATTGAAAAAATTATTTTATCGATTCCTTAATTATCCCAACTATATTATTACAATTTATTTACATTTCAGGTCAATGTAAATTGTCACAAATCAATGAAGTGGCTCTATTTATCATTCCAGACATTTAAGTGTTGGAAGATTTTTAAGAGGCTGTCTTATGTCTCATTTTCATGGAAAAACGGTTGGGAAAATTCAAAAATGGTTGGAAAAATTTACTGTTAGAGGGTGTCGCACAGTGACGCCTTCAAAGAAAACCATAAATATCTTTGTGGTTTGAGATTTTATTCAGGAGTTTTTGCATGTTGGAGGGTTAGTACAGTAGAAGGAACATATAACATATAAGTAACGTTTCATTAAAAAAATTAGACATTTTTTCATCGACCTTCAACAATGTTACCGAGTCACTTTAATGCAACTACACAACATTTTGCTGTAATTTTATACTCAGGAAAGAGCCATCATTAACTCCTTTAAATAAAATCAATGTAACATGATAGAGAGAGTGAGTTACAGTGAGGCCATAGGCCTATGTCTCTAGCCTGTGTAAAGATCGGATGAGAAATTGCGCGATGACAAGTTTTGAGACCAATTATTTAGTAGATAAGGCATAAACATTCAGTTACTTATACCAAATGCCTAATTTTTAGATCATTGGTCCCTTAATACGTCAGTAAAACCGCCAAACCGTCAAACTTATGGCATTTAGGGCAACGCCTTTATTCTCTCGATCTGTTGTCGGTCATAATTATCTGTGTCACTGGAGTTATTCCTACTGTGTTTTCATCCTTTCATAATATATAGATCTCAGGAAGAGAGACAAGTCATTCTTCCCGCTTCGATATAGGTAGGAACTACTTTTCGTGTATAGTATTCGTTTCTTACTTATCCAGGTACCAAATGCCGAACACTGCTGCTGATATTAATAAGACGAAGAGAAGGAAGATGACAAACCAGTTCCGTTCTGACCACGTCTGAAATAAAACATATATATTCGGGTCTATTGTTATATACTCACTTTTAGTGTGGGATCGAATTGCAATAAATTAGTCAAATACTACGACAATCATTACTACACTTAAATAAGTTCTATTATGTTCATCAATAATCTTGAATTTATATTAATTTATTCATACACTGCATAGAGCCAAGTAGAACTCGTATTTGGAATATATATCGGGTAAGGCGTATGCTTTCGTTTAAACCAAAAGACGGTCAAGATAATTGGCATTGGTCGTTCATGGTTTTAATTTGTAGCCATAACATAAACACCTGACAGTAAAAATTCATTTCTTGGTTTCTTGTGATTAAAATATTTTTGTCGCTGGATCGACTTACCTTGTCTGGTTTTGTGAATTCAACTAGTACCGGTGTATCATTGAAGATTTTATAAGGGCTCAGAATTCGGTTCTGTTCTTCCCTAGATAGTGATATCGTTAAAAGCTTCACAGTATCTTCATTAAAGCTTGAATTGAAGAGGCTGGTGTTGAATGCGACGGTCGTGAAAGGCAGTCTGTATTAAATGAGATGACGTCAAACAGAAGAACGATTATTTTGCTTATTAGTTGAGTGAGAAATCCGTTATATATCTTTCATAAATGCGTAGAAATTATACTTGTGAATTAAATAGATAATATATTCAATTGATTCAACGATGAATCTTTCTTACAATCATTCCCTCTAGTATATTCTAGTAAGTCTAAAGTACAAATCACGTTTCTCATTGTAAAAAAATATAAATTGTGGAAAATATTTGGGATTGACAAGTGGCGTAGCATGGGTCAAGCATTCGAGAAATGTAAATTAAGAAGGTCATCAAGTGAGGGGATGGTTGGGAGGAGTTGTATTATCGCCTACTGTCACGTTGACGTTGCCCTCTACAATTCATTCCTATCGCTCTTTTTTCATATTTTGTCTGCCATTATAGACGGAAGGGGGGATTTGCCCCTATCACCCCCCCCCCCTAGCTACGCAAATTAATGATATGCTTCTTAGTATGAGAAGGGCATCTTCTCTGTAACAACGTATACGCGTTAATGCCCTTCTTGCTCCAAAAATAACACATGTTCTTGAACTCTTACCCTGAGATGGATGACGACCCGTTGATGGCGCTGATGATGCCAACTTCCACCATAATGTCGGGTTCTTTCCCTGTCGCAGTATGGATAAGTTCTGCCAATCGTTCCTCCATTCCAGGTAGTAGTGGGTCGACGTGATTCTCCAATGTTACTTCACTTATGCTGTTGACTGTAAGTCACGTGTCGTATATATAGAGAGAGAAATGAACGAGACATTGCTAGGCAATCGTAATTGAATAAAGTCAACACTTTTATTTGAAATAGCCTTTTTTTTTGTATTTTGTCATTTTGTCACATCCAAGCAGAATAAAGGGAACTCATGGCGAGAGAGATATAGAAAGACAGGAGGAGGAAGAAGTAAATAAAACTTGATCGCACTTGTAAAGGTCACTTCGATCTATTTCTTCATCATAGTATCAAACTAACGAAGTACCATTATTTCCATGGATTTAGCCCAACTCCCTGAGGCGCTGTAAACATTCAAGGCTTAACTTCCTACTGGTACCAATTTTCCACACCAAGGTAGAGAGTGGCAAATGTAGATTAATATTTTGCAAAATAACATAACTGCCGCAGCTAGGACTCAAATCCCGAACCATGTGAACCACTGAGTCTGGTGACGAATACAAATGAAATGCTTATTTTGTTAATGAGTACAAAGGTTAATTTATATACTCACCAAATGGAATCTCACAATTTTCTCCAACGAAGCCAGTCGAGCAAAGACATCTATGATAGAAACAGAGAGAGAGAGAGGGGATGGGAAAACTTGTAAAAAGTGAACCTTCATAATGAAAGGAAACAAATCAGAATCGATTAGTCAATGAAAGAAAGTATAGCGAACTAAGCGAAGGGCATTAATGATAATGACACAGCCAATAATGATGCAACTTTCTTGTATTTGCTTACTTTGTACTTTGTTTTCTCGCATAATTATTTCTATCCGATGTGCACCTTAAAAACGCCTAAATCCCATTGAAAAACGTATGTCTGTATTCTCCACTTTACAAAAGTAGGCCCAATTAGGATTAAACAAAAACAGTACAAAACACTTTACAGGAATCAGTCGTCTCTCCTTTAAAGCCTGGCTGCACTAGTTTGGCTAGGAGGGATTAGAGCTCCGTGCATTGTCACTGCCAGGTGGACAAATCAACTTTCAATTACATTGAGAAAAGGGGATCATGGGGGACTAACGGGTGCCGCTTAGGCATTGTTTGCTATATATAGGGCGTAGGTAGCTACAAGTAGAGCAGTCCCGCTTAAACCGAATATTTATGGTATTCCACCTAATTGTCTTGAGGCTAGGAGTTAAAACCAGAGCAAAGAAATGCTTACCTTTTCCCTTCTAGTGTAACCATACAGGTGGCCCCATTCTCGCACGGCATCGGTCCACAAGGGTCTTCAGTTGTGGTTGGTGGGGGAATCGTTGTAGGAGCTATGTTAGAGCATTCATACGTCCCAACTAGATTCTTGCAATATGGTGTTTCGGGTGGGCATGGCTGGAGTATCAAACTGCACTCATCAATATCATCTTCGCAAAAGCTTCCTGTGAAACCCTCGGTGCACAGGCAAGAATAACCATTCAATGCGTCTCTGCAGCCGGCGCCATGTTGACACTTGTGGTCAATACATTCATCGATGTTCTCCTCGCAGTGTTCCCCCCTGAATCCAGAACGACAGTAGCAGAAGAACTTGCCAACACCATCTATGCATCTACCATTGTTTTGACATGTTTGGCGGCTACATTCATTGATGTTAAATTCACAGTGAGGACCTTCGTATCCTGGTTTACAGCTACACCTGTAGCCATTCAGCCGATTGACGCAGTCCCCATCGTTCAGGCAAGGGTTGCTGATGCATTCATTGACTTCACTTTCACAGTAGCTACCGAAGTACCCGTCGATACAGTCGCATCGGAAAGCATTGATCATATCAACACAAGTGGACAACCCACGGCAAGGATCAGAAGCACATTCATTGATGTTGACCTCGCAATGGACTCCTTGGTACCCGATCAGGCACTGACATCTATAGCCGTTTACCTCATCAATGCATCTTGCGTTGTTAATACAGGGGCGGCTTGCACATTCATTAATGTTTACATCACAGAGAATACCTTCAAATCCCGGTGCACAGTGACAGGTGAACCCATGGATTCCATCCTCACACGTAGCCCCATTCTGGCATTGGTCAGTAGCGCAATCATTGATGTTAATATGACAGTTCCTTCCTCCGTAGCCTGGTGGACAAACACAATGATACTCGTTGACACCATCACGGCAGACTCCTTTGTTCCTACATGGACGTGAGGCACATTCGTTGATATTAATCTCACAATGCTTTCCCCAAAGCCCTGTATACAGTGGCAAATAAATCGATTGAGACCGTCCAAACACATTCCATTCAGACATGGGTTGCTGGCGCATTCGTTGTTGTTGATCTCACAACGGTGGCCACGGAAGCCCGGTCGACAACGACAGAAGAATCCATTGACAGCATCAATACATCGACCTCCATTCCTGCAAGGCTCCGTTGAACATTCGTTGGCGTTGATCTCGCAGTGCCGACCACCGAACCCTGATCTACATTTACAGAAATACCCGTTGATCTGATCTATACATGAACCTCTATTAGCACATGGACTGCTGGCACATTCATCAATGTTTGTGGTGCAGTGCTTACCTACATACCCTACCATACATTCGCACTCGTAGCCATTAACTAGATTCCGGCACATCGCTCCGTTCTTACAAGGGTCACTTGCGCATTCATCGATGTCACTTCGGCAGTTCTCTCCGTAGAAGCCTGGTCTACACTCACATACAAATCCATTTACACCATCAATGCACCGACCTCCATTCTGACAAGGAGAGCTAAGACACTCATCCGTATTCGCCCTGCAAGTTAGTCCAGTGAATCCTGGTGTGCACTCGCAGAGGAACCCATCGATATGGTCTATACAGGTGGCGTTGTTAAAGCATGGCAAACTCTCACACTCGTCAACATTGATCTGACACCTTTGTCCTCTGAAACCATTAGGGCACCTACATCGGAATTCGTTTACTCTATTCATACACTCCCCTCCGTTCAAGCAAGGGCTGCTAGCACACTCATCAGATTCCACCTGACAATTCTCTCCGAGGTAACCTGGAAGGCATTGACATTCGTACGAGTCTACCATGTCATTACACCTTCCACCATTTACGCAAGGGTTGCTGTCACATTCGTTGACCTCTTCATCGCAGAGGAGACCAAGGAAGCCCTCGTTGCAAAGACAGATGAACCCAGCAACCGAATCGATACACCTGGCGTTATTTGCACATGGGGTGCTGGCGCATTCATCAAGGTTCACGGAGCAATCAGCCCCACCAAATCCCGCCATACATTCGCAGACAAAGGATGCTACTCTATCATGACACGTTCCTCCATTCCTGCAGGGTTTGAGTACTACACATTCATTGAACTCATGCTGACAGTCCTCGCCAAAGAATCCGGGTAGACAGTAGCACGAGTAGGCATTTGCTAGATCTCGACACAGTGCTCCGTTCATACATGGAGATGATGCACACTCGTCAATATTCAATTGACACGTGAGGCCAGTGAAACCAGGTTGGCATTGGCAGGTGAAAGAAGCATATCCATCAACACACTGTCCGCCATTTTGGCATTCTATTCCCCTGCAGTCGTCTGGATTGTGCTCGCAGTGTGTTCCTGAAAATCATAGAGAAAATGAACAATAATATTAGGTAACAGAACCAACACATTCATCGGGAGAAAGGTTAATCCTAACAATAATTTCAAAATGATGATTTTGGTCTCATCAAAACGAAAATTTGGTCAGTGATCTACATGGTTTAGGTCATCAGTTTAGACCGTTGCCTGCTTTGAAATCAAAATGAAAACGCAATCCATGTAAATTTCAGCAAACATTCTGAGCAATCAAAACATTTGAAAATTATTTTGATTATCATGGTGGATGGACACTACATCATACTTTTCAAAAACTGTATAATCTTACCTACTGCTCCGTCCACACATGTACAGCTGTATCCGTTCTCCAAGTCAACACAGGACCCGCCGTTCATACAAGGACGAGAGACACATTCGTTTATGTTCTGTTCAGAAAATCGGAAAGAAAGATGTATGACATTTAGTCCCGCATATCAGCTATCCTTTTATAATGTAAACCAACAAAAGGAAGAAAGAAAGTCGCAGCAAACAACTATATATAGATGGAACTTCGACTGCGCGCAGTCGAAAATGATTCCTCCGTCATAGAACAATTTTACAAACCAAAACAGAAGAAATTTTTCGAATTCAAGTTCAATTGAAATCCATTAACAGGTTCTCAGAATATTGTGATTACAAGCTATTTTTGCATACATAATGAGCCCATGACCTTTGACCTTATGAACCAAGAATCTACTCAGTTCATTGGCTCTGCAAGAAACATACATGACCTAAGTTGGCAGGAATCCATCAATCGGTTCTTGAGATAACGCGATCACGAGCTGTTTTTGCATACATAATGTGCCCTGTGGCCTTTGACCTTTGACCTTGTGACCCCTACATCTAATCAGTTCATCGGCTCTGCAAGTAACATACATGACCTAAGTTTGGCAGCAATCCATCAATCGGTTCTTCAGATAACGCGATCACAAGCTCGTTTTGCATACATAATGAGCCCTGTGGCCTTTGACCTTTGACCTCGTGACCTCAAAATCTAATCAGTTTTTCGGCTTTGCAAGTAACATACATGACCTAAGTTTGGCAGCAATCCATCAATCGGTTCTTCAGATAACGCGATCACGAGCTCGTTTTGCATACATAATGAGCCCTGTGACCTTTGACCTTTGACCTCGTGACCCCAAAATCTAATCAGTTCATCGGCTATACAAGATACATACATGACCAAAGTTTGGCAGGAATCCATCAACCAGTTCTTCAGATAACGCGATCACAAGCTCGTTTTGCATACATAATGAGCACTGTGACCTTTGACCTTTGACCTCGTAACCCCAAAGTCTAATCAGTTCATCGGCTCTACAAGATACATACAATACCAAAGTTTGGCAGGAATCCATCAACCAGTTCTTCAGATAACGCGATCACGAGAACGGGACGTACGTACGTACAGACCTACGTACGTATGTACGGACGTACGGACGGACGGACAACCCGAAAACATAATGCCTCCGGCTACTTCGTAACGGAGGTATAAAAACACCAAATGGATTGTTTCGAGCTTCCCACGTAATACCTATTAAGTCAATTGTTAAATACCTATGTTCTTCTCGGTCAAAGAAAGTGTCTATTACACTCTGAAACCAAACCTTGAAGATACAAAGTAAGTCAGCATTATTTGATAACTAAAATAGTGGTACAAATAGGTCGTAATTATGCAGAGATATATCACAATATGGCATATACATGGCCTATGACAATGGATTTTTCCAAAGCAGGCCATATAACATACTAAAATAAACATATATGAGTATATTGATGATCAAGGGCGGTAAACGAGAATTAGTGAGGGAGAGAGGGAGAGAGGGGTGACTTGCTTTCGATAGGCAAGACTATCTTCGGAAGGAAGTAAAGAGGAAAAATGGGGGGAAAACGAAAGAAAGGAGCGAAGAAAAAAAGGGAAAGGGTTTTGAAGTGCATGGAGAGCAGAAGTCCAATTTGACAATTTCCAAAACGATTATACATTTACTCTGCACTTACATTTCACACATTCCTACACTTTTCAAAATAAGACTGATTGGCTCTTCCAGGGTTTTTGATTTTGTGAAATTGAACCTTTTCTTTGAATACTCACCACATCGCAGTTCGGACCATCCCAACCTGGAAAGCACTCTTTCTCGCCAGACAAAACATTACATCTGTAGTGACCCAATTCACCGGGATTACAGTAAACGTCGCAGTTACCACCAAAGAAATGCTCTGAGCAGTACACACGAATCTCTATTTTCGTTCTGGGAATATGGAAGAAAATTGATAAAGCTTAATAATATTATGACAGAGAAGTTACAAATATTGAAGTATCGTACATTTATTTCACGATTAAGAGTTGTACTATCATGTCGTTAGGTGAAAAGTAGGAAACATAGATTCTGATCCACATTTAAAGACTACATTGAATAAGTCAAGCAACTCTGAACGATGATGGGCCAACGAAAACTTTCATGTTGGGCCTACTTATCATTTTAAAGACCCACAATGAAATGTGATTCTTCATCCGATTAACTTATGCCTTTTCCAGTGCTATCAAAAGTTCAGTCTTTTTCTTCATGTTATTGTGTGACTCTGGCAAACATTGCATATTTAAAGATTGCTTAGAAGAGTCCATTTTCTATTAATGGTATAGACCTACTCTGTATATCCTTCACCAGTAAGCGTGTATCTGAAGATAGGCGCTTCGTCCAAGTTGATGTCGGGTCGGATGGCGAAGTTCCTGCTATAGAAGTCGACACTGTTTGGCTCATGCCCTAGATCGACATCCCAAACACCGACCTTTACTCTGATACCTCTCTGTCAAGAAAAAAAGAAAACAAGGAAATTGTAGTGAAGGAAGAGAAAGTAATCCCATGGCCATTATCATATCAGTTTCAAAACGAGCGACAATGATGGCTATCCGTTTAAAGTTGTTATGAAGTACCCCCAGCCCATTGCATCCTCCCTCGCGAGATGCGAGCATTCATGTAGAGCTTCTATTTCTTTATCTAAAGTATTATGTCGCGTCTTTTGGGAGAATGAGTTCAGTATGTCATCGCATTGCTCTTGACATCTGTTTGAGAAAAATAATTCATGACATGGCATCCTTTCTTGTTCAGAATCTATCGATATCCGGACCCTGAAGACATGAAACTTGGATATTATTTTATTGAAATTATTTAGCATCAGTCAAATAAGGTCGGTGTTCATGTGATAGATGAATATTTTTATACATACATGTACACTACAAATATGAACACGTTGTACGTTAAATAGAATTAAAAGCTAAACCATTGAAGAAAAAAAATATGACATGAGACAAGACACGCAGATAGCTATTCTTCTAAAACAATACGGAATATGCAATGTGTACATGGACACGACTGATTCGGCATTGAACTACATCCAATTGTCATTAGCAACGACGATTGAAAGGGGAAATAAGCACTATACAATTTTGTATTTAAAAAAAAAAGATTTCTCAAATTCTGCAGAAACCGATTGTTTTTACCAATCTTGATAGGTAACTTCATAATATAGCACCGTCTTCCTTCTTAAAAGTATTATGAATTATATCTCTGTTTTGTCATCAACCATGGCGTTTCATGTGAGGTATAGGTCCCTTCACTTGAAAGATGGTAAGGTATTCCAATTCCCAATGTCCGCAGAAAAAAAAACATATAGCCAATTTGTGTATGATGGTGTTCCGTGACAGATTTTTATTCCTTCTCAAGGCATCTTCCCAACAGACATGACAGATACCTAAACTCGACGGAATGAAGCTATGACGGGCTATGATAAATAATCGGCCACTACCTGACAACTCTGAATGCTTGCCAAATTAACTTCTTCACACTTGTAAGATAAAATCAGCATGTGAGTAATGTGTTGAAAGGGACATGTAAGATCTCATGCTGATTACTTCTGAAGTGACAACTTGTAGAGTTGCATATGCGTTTGAGAGGTATGCCATACTCTTTAGCCTTGTCATGGTTTCGTTCTTTTATTCTTAGTTTGAACAATGTAATAACAAAGACAATCCTAGTTGAGCTTATCGTAATATGTGAGTCAGCTCTGAGTTTGCAAAATTTCTGCATTTTAAAGACGTCTGTATTAAAGTCAAGCCTCAATTGTTTCTGAACGTTATGATTACATTTTTTTTTAAATTCTACGACATCTTTAGGATTCCTTCACCGTCTTTAAATGATTTCTCACCATTGTTTTTTTATTTGTTCCTGGATATGCCACTATGTGATTTTTTTGTCGAAACGTTAAGTATATGGGTAGTAAGCTTAAATCGACTCGGGTATAAAAGGTTTAATAGAATCATCCATCATCACGTTTAATATTGGCTTACCTCCCATTCTCGGACCTTAACCAACATAGGATTGGGAATGTTTCCAGAGAGGATTTCAGGAAACGCGAAGCTGTCCTGGTTGTCAAAGATGGCTCCTGTTGCAACACGTCCGTAAGGACAGTTCGCCATGTCGATATCACTAAAAACAGAGATAAAATGTTGTGAAATAATCTGAAAAACATTTAGGTACCTAGATTCTGCTTATATCTCGGTTTGCATGGTGATGTAAAAGAGTAGGCTTACGGTTGCACTATGTGAGAGGGGGAGGATTGAGAGTCCTGAGAAGGACTGATAGTTTCAAAGAAAACTATAGTGCCGGTAGGAGAGGACGGGTGGTTGGAGGCGTAAGGTATTTAGACACCTTACGCAGATAGTCTGCAGATCCTAAAGAAAGACCGTTATTTAGACTGCTTGTACATGTGTGTATTTTGATTCAAAATGATGGCCGGCTATCATATTCTGGTGACAGAAATGACAAGTTATTCTACTGCATCTTGGAATATAAGTTTCTTCAGGTTGTTCTTAAAACTGGATTTTCTCCTTTCGTCTAAGATATTTCAAATATTGTCGATTTGAATTTACAAATAATTGCCATCAAAATCGTAATCGCAAGACACGCATCGAAATAAATAATGACGTAATGGGACTGTCGGTGCGCCATGTGTTACATATCTATAGCAAATTTATATTCCTTTAAATATAATATGTAAATAAATTTGTGTAAAATATAACTGTGGACCTACTATCAGAAGTAAGACCATACTCATAATATGCATTATGATCTGAATGTAGATAAATCGTTCCTACAACTGGGTGTTGTCCATTGCATCTGTCTTCAGGCTCGAAAGTGGGGAGCCGCAGAGAGCTATTTTGGGAGTGACCGTCTTAGAGTTTGGGAATAACCAGGAAGTAATGTAAACTGCCTTATATTTTAGGCTATAAAGTTTTCCAAAAACCAGACATCTTATCTTCAATCTATAGGAAGCATATTACTTGGACCCATGTCTTGTCTCAATTACATGCTTTATGGAATGAGAACTCTACATACTAGATTTGAACTAAGATTACTTCGCATTGAATATACTTCTTTCGGAGCACCGACTTTGGAGCATTAAAGTACTTAATTACTTTGTGTCATTAACAATTCTGAAGAAGCCATTCTCACGAAGTTTCACCCCTCTATGTTCTCAATATATTAACTGAAATTAGTCTTTGGTTTACATTTCATGCTTGTTTCACAATGTTCTTTTCTGTCCTCCACTCATGTCCTGTTTACGGTCGTATAGACTTTCAAAATATAAACTTTAGGCAACTTACTACTCTTTTATTCTTTATCCCTATCCGTGTTCATTTTTATTTTTATTTTCTAATTGAAATAGCTATTTTTAACGTTCATAATATGTTATATAACCTCGTCTTATAAGCTCTGGCCTCTGTATCTTCCATCTAACAATTTCCATATAGTTTTTAACGTTTGAATGTTATATAACCTCGTCCTATAATAAGCTCTGGCCTCTGTATCTCCCATCTACTAATTTCCACCTGGTAACCCGGAATGCAATGCTTACCTTCCTGGAGGCCCGAAGCAGAGATCAAAGCTGTTATCACACCTGTTACTGCATGGCCGGTCTACATTATCACAGCACTGTCCATCCATTAGTCTGCTGTTCTCATTGAGGTATGCCTTCAGTCTGAATGATACCGTCACTTCAGATGAAACATATAAGACGCTCTACAAAAGTAATCGAGAAAAAGAAATATAAAAGTTAGATTAAATCATCAACTACACCTGAAGTTGTAATATATTCAATGAATTACATGTCTGTCATCATTTATCTGTCATCCTTCTTAATATGTACGCGTAAAATAGCGCACAACTACACTTGTCTCCCCGAACGTACGAACTATCGAAAACACAATGGTGGAAATGGCCAATTCATTACAAGGAAGGTTTAATATTCAAAGGATCTTGATAATTACGAAAAGAAAGTGAAACAAAAAATGCACAAAAAAGTATAACTTAAAATTTGGTCCAAAATTACAATATTTTCACCGCTTTATTAGAAAAGAATGCTCCACTAGTAACACAAAAGCCGTTCGGGGGATTATTAAAATCACTTGTTAGATTGCAATCAGTCGGGACAGGCCCCAAAAAATCATTTATAAAGGAAGACAAATTTAATGGCGTCTAGGGGCGGGTTTGCGGGTGTTCGGGCGAGGTCATTCATCACGAGTTCATTTGACTTTAATTACAACCATATTGGTCAAAAGTGAACTTTCTAATTTAAGAATTATTATTAGTTAAGTTCGACCTGGCTTTAAAGTAATTAGTTTTCTATATTTATAGATTTTATAGAATTCACCTTTCTGAGGAGTTTAGCGATCACTTTTACATCAGTAAATATCATCTTCTAAATATTTATTTCTCGTTAAAGATAAAGTTGAGTTCTGGTCATGCGATTGTATTGTGAAAGAAAAGGTGTGGAATGGATCATTAAGTTGACCATGTACGTATTGGTGTGTACTACAAGGTTCTGGAGTCATCAAAATCATAACAAATTTGGCCCAGTCTTGGTAGTACTGTACACAGAAAGATGTATATGAGACTACACAAATGGTGTCCGGCCTGCTTACCTTGATTTCCTTATCTTTCTATGCAACATTACTCAGCCAGTTTACATTTTCTACCAAAATTGTTTGGCAAATGACATTCATTTGTAATCTTGAACTTTCAGTGTAAGTTTCGTTTGATTCTGTGAGAATTCATTTTCTTTTCTTTTTTTACCAGAACTGAAGTTTATCTTTAATGTCACATCCATCAAGTACTTCGATATTAGATCTTGCCTCTCAGAATAATTTACAAGAACTTTATGAAATCATTGATCTATCCTTCTTTAAGTTTTTCTCTTTGAAAGCAAAACTAAAACACATTTCAATCGACTGTGTGGGATGAATATTGCAGGGCATACTAGTTACTTGAGTTCATATTGAGAAGGTCAGTGTCCAAAGTAATTATCATGGTCTTCTTCAGTGACACATTGGCACAGTAATGACGTTTGTTAGCATCGGTTAATAATTCAATGGCACACATCAAAATGTGTTCACAATAATCCTGTAGTGCTTTTGTCGGTAAAACGCAAATATCGAGACGCTTTCCAATATGATGGATTTCGATCTTTACCAAGATATTATTATTTTTAATATATAAAACTAAGCTGAACCATCAATGTTAAATCAAAGTTATACATGCTAATGATTTTTCCATAAGGAAATTATCTCCCTTTTGAATATAAAGTTAATGATTTTAGATGAGAATTCAAGCTATTATGTGTTGATATCAAGGACAACACGTTTTTATATTTGTTTCCATGTTTATCTAGTTATTATTTTTCTTGGGTTTTTTTCCTTACAGTATTTGAAGACATGTCCTTTTCTAATACATAAACGTATCTCTTGTTTGTTAAACTCTCATCAGTACTGGTTACAAACACACATTCATATTGACAATTAATGCATTATTGATGTGGATTTTCTACTTTAATGATAATGTCAGTCTGACTGAATGAAGACGAAATTCAATATCGGAATGGACACAATATTTCTCAAGTTTAATGTCTAACCTTGAAACCAAATTGTTGGATAGAGAACAAATAAATGCAATAAGGCCTGTCAGAATGCATCAACAAACATTGTATGTTTTGGCCTCTTTCCCTACCATGCCATTATTCTGTCCCTACTATAATCAGTGATAAAACACATCAGGTGGTCCATACTATATAACAAAGATTATCATAATTGATAGGATTCACAATTGTTCACTGACATAAAATCATGATCAGTTTGGGTAGCACTGCTGAATAACATATTTTGCATACAATTTATACCCGTCACTTTGTTTTTCAATAAAGACAAACTTGCACCTTTCTCTATCCCTCCGGGACCATGACTCACTAAGTCGTACAGTCACAGCCAACGATGAACAGTCTTCTTGTTTATTAATTCACTAAACTGCAACATGTACATTTTGCACGTCCAAATATTCAATGAAACAAGAGCAGCGTATTTTCTTAATGATCTAAGAAACCTTTTTTGAACAGTAAAACAAAGATTTTTCATATGATTTCGTTTAACTTCAGAATTATTGCAGTATGTACATTAGTAAGGGGGCAGAAAAGTAAAATATTTTTAGATAGGCTATTGACAAAAATTAAAGAATGTTTTCTTTTACTTGGCCTACCAATTGAAGTCCACATAATGCTAGTTACGATTTAGACCTACACCATTAACACATGGGCGACGTCTTAATGTTGGTTTCATTTCAAATGATCAAGGTAACAAAAATGAAATTCTCAACATTTTGAAGAGCGTGCATGACAATCAATCTTTTCTATTTTTTTAAAATTAAATTCATTAATTTAATCGCGAAGCACTAAAAACTGAATCTTTTATGAGCTGAAATAAGCTTTTTGCTACATTCCCAATGACATGGACAACTTTTTGCTCGTAAGATACAGAGATGCTCTTTCAGATCAATGACACCCTCTCCAAGTCCACCTGCATCTTATTACTAAAAAAGAGAGAGAGATTAAGTTTGGTGGTACCGCTGGGTGATTGACTTCGTTATCTAATCAACAAAAGCCTGGTGAGTAAGATCTTGACTAATAGGGGTCTAGACCAATCGAATTTAGTCCAAATTACAAACGTAGCGAGACGAAATCCTCGACCAATGTGAGTATTACTCACATAGTACGAAGATTAGATCAGGTATGATACAGCTGTCCGTCAAAGCATTTCGATGAAAACATATAATTAAATAAATACATTTTCAGTAAATGTTCCAAACTTTTGAAAGATTCGTAAAAAATAGTTTTAAGGAACCGCTTCATTTGTCTCTTTGTTTCAATCGATCTGGTTCTAGAAAATTATTAATGCCTTCATTAGATATCGACGGTGAACTACATACATCCTGTTTCAAGCCCTCTTTTCTAGAAGATGGGCGTTTTTATGAAATTTTAAGAGGACTAGCTCTTGAAATTTTACTGTGCTTTTTAAATATTTTTCCGAACATTTTCCTTTTTTTTTTTTCTTTTTTTTTTTTTTTTTACATACGATTGATTAATTAAGGGGAAAAAATTATATGCCGAAGAAAGGACAATACACACACTTAATTCAAATGTGATTCGGATTTGTTCAATAGTTTAGAAGCATACTTGACATCTCTTGAATCATACAGGAGACAAGGGCAAAACTCTATGCCAAGTTTAGGATTTCAGAGTGTGACTCTAAGGATTGGGCTGACTGGTCATAAGTCTATTTACTGAGCATTTTTGTTATATTGAGGCCAAGCCTTTGTGATTTATTCTTTTTGGTTTCTTCATTAATTTCCTCTCATTAGTTGATCTCAAACAAACTCTAATAAATGGAGACAGTATGTTTAGGACTTCTAAAAGAGTAGTATTTATTACTATCCCATTTTATTACAGGTAAAATAAGAGGTGAAATTTAAAAAGGTGATACACATGATAAACACGAAAGGAGACAAAACAACAATCAAAGTACGACGAAACCCGCAATTTCATTATTTGCATAGAAATGCGCCTCATTCATAAATGTGTATAACTGTATTTAAATTACAATGCATTGTGTTTCTAATTCAAACTATGTTTTCAAACGTATCTTTTAGGACAATGGTATTATTTGCATATAAATGCGCCTCATTCATAGCTGTTAACTGCATTTCAATTACAATGCATCGTGTTTCTATTAAATTCAAACACAGTTTTAAAACATGTCTTAGGACAATTGCTGCGTGACGCCATCGTGAGAAAGACGTCATTCTGAAGTTTTGATCAAGTTTGAGCGTAATCTAATTTTCTTTCCACAGACGTGTTTCATAATCTTCTCACTACAATACAATATAGATTGGCATGATCCTCGGATTTGCAGGGCTTTTTGCGAGATGTCTGACTTGGGAATATAATTGACGAAAATCAGGGAAATAATCAACTGATTATGAAACAAGTTCGGAAGATTTGTTCACAATCTTTTGACAGGCACACAAGGTTTATCCAGGTATAAGAACAAAACGTTATGCCTATGAATTATATAATATGAAGAACAACAATCGACACAAATTTTAATTACTGTAAACACGTGTAACCCGTCATGTTCAGTAAGAGCCTATGTTGTCACATAGATACACTTTTTAAATTTCATGAAACGGTTTCCCTTGGCGCCAATGTTTACATCTAAACCATCGCCATGGCCATGCATATGTATGATAATAGGGCTATTCAATAATTGCAAACATATGTTACATGGGGGAAGTACCCTAAATGGTTGAAACCTGACAATCAAGATTGTCAAGTTCTCCTCGATGGTTTGATCGGATGTTGTAAATCACGATAATAATTTAATTACCTCTCTTACGAGGACACTGAACAACAGTCATATTCATCACGTTCAAAGCGAAAGAAAGACCTACAAACGTTAGTTAAAGGAACAATGCCGTATATTTCCTACAGCAAAGTATTTTGCGACATCAAAATAACACATACAAAGACTAAATATTTCCACATTAATGGTCAGTCCGTATTAACATTTGTGAGATACAAACAAAATATTTATATATATTTTTTTAAAGACAATACACAATCACGTTCTTGCCTCCAAGCTTCCAGTCAACTTATCCAAGCGGTTTTAGAAGAAAAAAATGCCAACCTTTCTTTTTCC